GTTCATATTGTCATAAACATCTAATCAATTCATCTTGTAGATTTCAATATGATCTCACATCGAATACTTTACAAGCTGCAACTAAAATATTTTTACTTGCAAAAAAATTGGGAAAGGTTTTTTAGTGTGACGTACTTTGCAAATCACCCTGTTACATCTTTTGAAGTAAAATCAAGTCTGTTAGTAGACATTTTTATTGTTTTGTTTTGTTTTGCAACTGTTTACAATATAGAATCTTGCAGAAGACAACTCTGAAAAACAATATTCGTGTCCATCACCATATAATTATGCAATTTGAGGCGTTTAATTATGCAATTTGAGGCGTTTTAATACTCTTTGAGCCTGAGTTAACATTTGACTGTGATAAAATTTTATTTAAAATATTAGTAAGCAAAAAATATATTTTTTACACCTATAAACTTGTTTAAATTTTCGAATATTATTAAACCTCCTAAAGAAACTTTGAAATGCATGTACCTTAATATAACATCTTCAGAAAACTTGATAAATTTGCAGCCGTTATTGATACAAATCGCCGAATCTTATTGGTGTTAGCAAACTTGGTTAAAAATTTTTTCAGTTGTTAACATAAATGGATATAATCTTTACAGAAAAGACCGATGTAATGGTAGAAGAGGAGGTGGTATGTCTTTATGTTGATAATTTGATTGATTCATATGAAATTAGTGAAGTTTGCTTTAGTTCAAGCAAAATTGAACAAGTATGGGTTGTCGTGTATTATAGTAAAGAAAAATACCTAATTGGTTGTCTGTATAGGCCGAGTAATTTTCTGATATGGATAATTTTGATTTAGGTTTTCAAGAAGCAAGAAAGTTTGTTGATAAGAGAGGATTTTAAAGATGTTTTGATAATTGGAGATATAAATTTTCCGTCAGTCTGTTGGTCTAATGGTAATGCATCTTCAATCAAAAACGATAATGACATTGAGCAACAATTCGTAAACAAAACTATTCTAAATCAACATGTAAGTTTCCCAACATTTCAAATGTCAAATTAAGTTGCATCAATTACGTTAAATGAAATATTTACAACTGAATCTGGCAACGTGTGTGCAATAGAAACAAAATTCGTGCCAATATTGACAATGGGCATTTGATCATCTTTTTTGATTATTGTCTAAAAAATAATAGTGCTTGCAAAAGACAGATATGTAAATTCTTTATAAAAAAAAAAATTGATAAAATATCACAATTCATTTCAAATGCTGACAGGGTCAATTTATTTGAGAATAAAAAAGGTCCACGAGAGGTTCAAAAATTCATCAAATGCTTTCACTCTACCACTTACATTAATTTTTAGGGAATCTTTAGTTACTAGTCAACTGCCAATTCAATTAGATCCGCACACGTAACTTCACTTTACAAAAAAGGCAATAAAACAGTAGCAACAAGTTATCGCCCAGTTTCCCTTACTTCAATTCCGTGTAAGATACTAGAATGAAGAAAAAGTTGTGTACAACAAATTTACTAGAAACTATTGCTTTTACAACATTATGCATAGAAAACGGTACACCAGTTGATGTTGTTTTGCTAGATTTTGCAAAAACCTTTGATACCTTTGTGCATAAAAGACTGATATTAAAGTTAAAAGCATATGGAATCAATGGTCTTGTTTTGAAATGATTTGAATCATCCCAATCAAATAGACAACAAAGAATAGTTAAAGAAGAAATTGTATCTAGCTGGGACGACATTTTAAGTGGCTTGCCGCAAGGTTCATTTATTGGTCCTTGCCTTTTTGTTATTTATATTAACGACTTACCTATGATAATGAAAAACATCACAAAGTTATATTCAAATGATACTAAGATTTTAGCAAGTGTGGATTCTGATCTGTGTGTGAGAGAAATTCAAAATGACTTAGATAGAACCTTTAAATGGATGGTTAAGCGCCAAGCCTGCCTATACAACGAATATGTCGAAACGAGATAATTAGACGCAAAGTTTAAAAGTCTTTTACAAAAGCCACCAAAAAAATTAAAAGTATTTGCAGTTAAGTTAACTTAAAAATTTTGATCATAGTATATTGGTGTTAGCAAAAAAACACTAAATATATATATATATATATATATATATATATATATATATACATTTATATATATATATATATATATATATATATATATATATATATATATATATATATATATATATATATATATATATATATATATATATATATATATATATATCTTTTTTTAATATAAACTCAATTTTTTTCAACTTTGTTGTATAGGTAGGTTTGGCGCTTAGATTTAGCGTAAATAAATGCGTTGTCATACATTATGGTTCAAGTAACAAAAAGAGTCCCCTTTTTATTAATGGTGTTCAACTGTTGGAATCGAAATCAGAAAGAAATCTTGGTATTACTTTTAATACAAATTTTAAATGGAAGGATCAAGTCAACATGACAATCGGTTAAGCAACATTCAACCAGATGCTAGGTTGTGTAAAAATCATTTGCAAGATTTGACTGTAAACTTTTACGTTTCCTTTATTTTACATTCATTTGTCCTCTTTTAGAGTTTGCTATTCTAGTTTGGTCTCTGAAAGGAGATTGTGATGCTATTGAAAGAGTACAACATAGAGCAACAAAACCTCAATAAGTAACCTTACATATGAAGATTGACTTGTTTCTTTAGACTTGACCACTTTAAATGTAAGAAGAAAAATAGGTGACTTGATTCAATTATATAAATTTATTCATGGAATTGAAAATATAGGAATCAATAAAAGTGATTATTAATTGATTCTTATCTCCCTGGTTCCATAATATAGAAGATATTGGTGACACTTAAAATTGTATTTCCATTCCCATACTGAAATTTTTACTCCTTAAGGTTGTTAAATATATATATATATATATATATATATATATATATATATATATATATATATATATATATATATATATATATATATATATATATATATATATATATATATATATATATATATATATAGTCGAACATATCCATTGGAGACACAAAAAGGTAGACTAATTGAAAGGCATATTTGGCATAATTGTTATTTCTTTTTTTAAAGTTTTTTGCGTAAATGTCTTTATTATTTAAAAACTAAGGAAGGAAAGCTATAACCCAAATCCCCGCAGATTTAGGAGCCACTTTTTAAGAGGATGCTTTTTATTGGTATAGTTTTTTTTTGTCACTGATACGAAAAATTCTCACCTGCTCAAGAATTTCCTTCATGAATCTTCAAGATTTTCTTTGGCCGACTGCCAACTGCAGATCAAATTTTGCCAACTTTAGTGACTAAATTTGCCGACTAATTTAGAATATAATTTTTCTTGCAAGGTTAAATCCCCTCCCCCCAGGACGGCTCTGACTACTAGAACGTTTGACACATTCGGTCCATTAATAAAGCCGATTTTTGACTTACCGTTATAGCTAAGGTTAGCATCCACTAGCATTAGGATAAAAAAGTTTATAAATAAAGTTCTTTTTTTCCAATAATTTTTCTGTAAAATTTTATAAATAATCAAAATTCTTTTTTTCCTAACAGTTAGGAATTATGTTGGAAAAATTTCTTTACATAAGTTGTGGCAGACGCCGGGTATCCGGTAGTTACTATATAACTTACTCTGTAAAAAGTTCTTACCTCTTGGAAAAAGCGGTTGTTACATAAATTGTAAGTGCTTTCTCGGCGTGACATATAACACAAAATTAAAATAAATAAAAAATAAAAAATAGCACTGTTAATTGCAACTGTTATACATTGTCATTCTGTTGTTAAGTGATTTTATTAAAAAAAAATGCATGCACGATGAATTTTTGATGATATTTATGGTGGTAATAACGACGAATATGCAATGATAATCATGACAACACTGACGATGATAATGTTAACGATTGTCATCATTATCATCATTAGAATGACTCCTTGTAATGATTATCTTTATTATTGTCAAGTCAACTTACTCAATGTATAAATACATTATCTGTTTATATACATATTCAATATACAAAGTTTTGTTTGGTCCCAATGTATTTGTCATTCATTGTGCTCATTAGCACAATTTTTAAAAAGTTGTATGAAAGCTTACCAGGCAAAGCTAAAGTAATAAGGCATGTAAAAACTAATCATTCATTGCATCATAGGTTGCCTTATTTTTACTATTCTACAAGTACTATAATGATGCTATAAAGCATGTGATTATCTCTAGTTTTTCTTCAAAAAAAAAAAAGATTTTTATACAACATGCTGTTAAGTTACATCTTTTTCCAGTAAATAACTCTTTATTTTAAATTATAAGTTTAAAAAAATTTAAAAATTTCATGTAAGTTTGACAATACCTTAAAAGCTATGTATAAAGCACTATATATCTGTGTAACATTTTATAAATAGAAACAGAGTTGCCTTTCTCTAATATTTTCAACAATGTAACTAAAGATTTAGACTTGCTTGAAATACAAGTTCTTTTATAATATTTATCTATGTTCTTACCATTAAAAATGAAATTAGACCATATCAAGTTTATTTCATGTGCAATTGTTGTAAATGTTTTTTTTTAAAAAGTATGTCTTGTTGGGTCTCAAATAATGAAATTATATAAAATTTAAAAAAAAAATATCATTTTTAAATAAAATATTATTTTAGATTTTACTGCTTAGAAAATGACATTTTTTAAACTAAAAATAAAAAAATATGCGTTTTTACAAAGTTTTTTAGTTATAAGTTTTTATATAACTTTGCTTCTTTTGAGACACATGTATATATAAGAATGTATGATATATATATATATATATATATATACATATATATATATATATATATATATATATATATATATATATATATATATATATATATATATATATATGTATATATATATATATATATATATATATATATATATATATATATATATATATATATATATATATATATATATATATATATATATATATATATATATATATATATATATATATATATATATATGTATATATATACTAAATTTTTAGAAGTTTATGATTAGTTAATTAATTACAGGAATCAGTTATGAATTATTCTATAGAAGAAAAAGAATTATTTCAACCTCCACTAAAGGAAGTCTGTGATGTTTTTTTAAGTGGTTTATTAAAAAATTTTAAAAATGCATCTGTTACTATTGAAGAATGTCCTGATTTGACTAAGGAACCCTGGACTCTTGCTTCTAATGGAATATGTGGGACTCCATACCTTTTAGATGTAGGAGGAGTTCCTTATCTTACACCCAATCCTCAATTTCATAAGATTTACAATTATGAAACAATTGCTAAAGTTTTACCATTTGATAATGTCCTCATTCTTGGTTCAGGTGCAGGACCATTTCATAAAATTGGCTATAATTGTGAGTTAATGGCTAATATGTATATTAGTAAAGTTTTTAAAAATGAGTCTCGAATTGCATCTATCGACAAAAATGGTTCATATGAGCTGCAAATTAATCAAGAGAAAGAATTTGGAATTCTTGGCAATTTTCTTGCCTCTGAGGGAGTACCTGGAAAGGTCATTAAAGTCAATGCTAGTGTAAGAAAAGGGGGAAAAAATTTTATTGAGTGTATTAGAGAATCTTTAAGGGCAAAATATCCAGATAATATGATTGGTATGGGCGGTGTATTTGTTATCAAGTCTGGTAAAGCTAAAATTCATGTCATGCCTGATTTTTCATGTTCTCCATTAAATACAAAAGAAGATGTTGACAATTGGCTGCGTTTTTTTGAAATGTCTTCTCCACTTGTTTGTTTAAGTGTCTTTTACAATATTGATCAAGGAATGGACCTTCGTATTGATCATACCCATTGTTTTAGTCATCATGGAGATGGTGGACATTATCATTTTGATACCACGCCAGATGATGTTAGTTATGAAGGTTTTTTTGTTTTGGCAGAAAAAGTTTTAAGAATTGATCGCCCATGTTAATTTTTTAAATCTTTATTTAGTTTTGAAACAAAATAATATAATGGCAATAATATTATTATTTGTGAAAAAAATAAATTCTAATAATTTAAAAAGTCTCATCATTTCATTGTAGATTATTTTTTTGCATTTAATAATATATCTGTGTGCGTTTGTGTATATGTGTGTATGTATATAAATCAGTCCTCAGTATCAGAGTTTGCATTTGGCAATGCTGACTTAACTGCTGACCTAAAAGTGTCTGAGGTCTGCAAAAATTGCCAACCTCATTTCTATCTTGTTATGGTCAACAATTTGTTGCCAACTTTATTTTTTCTTGTTCCAAGGGCTGATATATACATATATAGTGTGTTTTTCTATTAATTCCATATTTATTCTTAGATACTTCTTCAGTGTAAAAGGAGTTTATATCAATTTTTCTCTGTTATAATTTTTTATTTTATCTATTAATTTCATATTTAATTTAAATAAATAAATCAATAACATTAAATTAGATTTTTATTTTCCTATGTGTATACCAATGCCAATTGATTGTTAAAACGTTAAAAATATAAAGAAGCATACAATATTGAATCATAATTTTTTTTTAAAAAATAAAAAACTTTTCTATATTAGTTTTTAGGGCAAGTAATAGATTAGGTGATACTGGATCTAGACCTAGACCAAATTTAAATTCTTGTTTTTTAAAAAAATTCGGTTAAAATAATGAATCAGAGTATTTATACTAAAAAAACTTTATATTTTTTTTTTATATTTTTAAACTTTTATTTAAAACTTTATATTTTCATAAAATGGTTTTTTAATATAAACAGTAATTATACAAAAGTAAATGAAACTTAATAAGAATGTTTTTATTTTTAATTTTAAAATAAAAAAATTTAGATAGACAAATAAATAATAAAAACAGTTTACATTTATATTTAAACAGATATTTAGAAACCTTTTTATAAAATATAAAAAAATAACCATTATTACATAAAACATATTTTTCAATACACATGTTTATAAGATAACTTTATAGTTTTAATTTGTATAATTAAGTAAGAGCAGATAGGAAATGTTTATTTAAAAAAAATTGTGAATATGCAAATTATAATATAAACTAATGGGAAGTGTTTATTGAAACCTTTATTTTTCCATGTAACCTTTATTTTTCCATGCAAAAAGGTGGTCTTGTTTCATGATTATTTCCTGATTTAAATACAGACTTCTTTTTTCATAATAATACAGAATATTATATAATAAACAAGAATATTACATAATAAATAAATACATATTAGATAATAAGACTTCTTTTTTCACTTTGTCAATATTTTTTATTGTAATTGAAAATCTGACTGAAAGTTGGAATCCCATTTGATTTTTTTTTGTTAAAGATGAATTTAATAATCTAAAAATAATTTAAAGAAATTTTCTTGACAAGTATCAGTTTCTTAATGCATTAAAAATTTTGCAATTACTACAGTATTAAACTACCCCAGCTGAAAATCTAGGTTTTTATGTAGAAATATATATATATATACTATAGCAGCCAAAAGTCATGGTTACAGCAGTTTTATTTTAGAGTTCAATACAATTCTTGTCATGTAGTCATTTATTTAGGCTTTTAGTATGCCCAGAACGTGTCATCGTGAATGTGCTATTAATAGAACACTGTTGTTTACATTGACAAACCGATAAAAATAGAGTTTTATTAATTCATTGCAGATTTATATATAACAGTTTGAGCATTCTATATAAAAACAAAATTTTAGATTTACACAAAGGTAAGAAACAATATTGTAACTATTTATTACATAATGTATTTTGTAAACAAACAGTTGTAGAAATAGTAGATAGTAATTTTTTAATGAATAAGTGATAATAGAGATGATGTGGTAATTTTTTAGACATTAAGTATTGATTTAGAAGAATATTTCTGAATAAATAGTGAAAATTATTTTAAAAATAATAATAAAATATTGAACATTACCTAAACCTGTTTAAAACACTGCAGAAATGTTTGTCTTACTGTTATAATTGTTTATACTATGATTTAAGTGACTAAAGTATTAATTATTTTTATAGATTTTGCTGAATAGCCATGAGTCAATACAACAAGCTGAGGATTCAGGACAGAATGGCAGCCTTCGTAAAGGCAGAAGAAGGCAAATCTTATCGGGTGATCGCCAAAGAGATGGGCATAGGTGTAAATACTGTTGCTAGAATAGTAAAGAAGATGAGACAGACGGGTAGTGTCGGAGATTTACCAAGGTCTGGGCGACCGAAGAAAACCACACCGAGGATGGACCGAGCACTGATTCGGATGTGTCTCGAGAATCGTCGCCAGACAGCCGTTGACCTGCGCGCTCGATTGCAAACTGAGATGGGGGTCGTTACAGGTGCGAGTACCATACGACGCAGACTGAAAAATGCAGGTCTGCATGGCAGAGTTGCAGCCAAGAAGCCTCTCTTATCTAAGGCTAATAAGTTGAAGAGACTGCGATTTGCGAAGGAGCATAAGGACTGGACTGCCGAAGACTGGAAGAAGGTGCTTTGGAGCGATGAGAGCACCTTTCAGCTTTTCTGTGGAGCAAGGCGAGTCTTGGTTAGGAGGAGAATAGGTGAGAAGTATCACAAAGACTGCATTGCTCCAACAGTAAAGCATGGAGGGGGTTCCCTCATGGTATGGGGTTGCATGTCTTGGTCGAGAGTAGGGCAGTTGTACCGCTGTAACGGTACTGTAAATCAGATCGAGTACCTTAACATCCTCAAAAATCATATGCTGCCTTCTGCTAGAACCATTTTTGGTGCGAACAGGAGGTTTGTATTTCAACATGACAATGCACCTTGTCATAAGGCGATGACAGTGTCTGATTTTTTGAGGCATGAGAATGTACAGGTGATGAACTGGCCTGCTCAAAGGCCAGACCTCAACCCCATAGAACATATGTGGGAAATCCTCTTCAGAAAGGTGCAGGATTCAAAACCAAGCACTTTTGACCAGCTTTGGCAGTTGCTTGAAGTAGCGTGGTCGCAGATTTCAGTTACTCAGATTCGAAATCTGATAGAATCAATGCCGCGCCGTATTAGAGCCTGCCTTCGCGTGCATGGTGGACACACTAAATATTAAAATTTTGTGTGAATTTTATGTAAATATGAATTTATTTTGTTATTCTTGTCAATCTTTGATGTTTTAGGTAATAAATATCAATCTATGGAAGTTGTTTTCAATTAAAACTGGTAAAACTGTAGTTAAAAACCACTGTAACCATGACTTTTGGCTGCTATAGTATATATATATATATATATATATATATATATATATATATATATATATATATTATATATATATGTATATGTATATATATATATGTGTATATATATATCTATATATATATATATATATCTATCTATATATATCTATCTATCTATCTATCTATATATATATATATATATATATATATATATATATATATATATATATATATATATATATATATATATATATATATATATATATATATATATATATATATATATATATATATATATATATATAACTTATATTTTAAGTTATGTGAAAATATGTCAAGTCTACATGCTCATATATTTCTTATATTATCATATATATACATATAATAATATATTTTGATGGGTATAAGGCATATGTTATAAATAGTATATGTTCTTTGTTTAAGTTTTGAAAATGAAAATAAAATTTAAATAAAATTTACAGATTTTTTTAAGCATAAAAGATGGGATCAGGAAAAAAAAAAGATAAAAAAAAAAAGCGCAAGCGAGAATATGAGTATGATGAAGAATCTTCTCCTCGGAAAAATGCAAAAGAAGATAATGATTACAATAAATATTTGTCAAAAAATAAAGAAACTTATAAATCTAGAAAAAAAGAAAATTCCCCCCCTGTCCCTCCTGGTATGGATTGGCCTTATGAAGCACCAAAAGTATCTAGTTACACAAGATCTCCTTTAAGTGATGGTGATACTGATTGGATGGCTGTTGATGATCGAAATAGAGATAGAGATTACCAAAATGAAGTTGATAGAAAATATCAATCGAAGTTGAAGGACGACATTCGAAAAACTGGTAATAGTAGTTTAATATTTATAGGGAATTTTTTTGTTAATGCGTTCTGTACTAAATATCATTATTGCAAACAAGTTATTGTAATTATAATTTTTAATTTGGTTAAAATTTATAATTTAATTAAAAAACTTTTGTTTTAAAATTTTGTGCTAACTAGATGTCAACCATGTATAGTCTAAGATTCCAATTCAGCAATTTATTCCTGACTCCTTTTTTTTTAATTCTGAAGGCTGCTTGCTAAATATGATGTAGTAGATAAATTTTCAACCACCCATTTTAATAACAATATATAAATACTAGTTTACTGTATTTATACATTGCTAACATAACTAACTTTTCAAATAAAAATTATTTTTTACTTTTAAATTTGAATGAGTAATAAACTCAATTTTTTTTTGTTTTTATGTAAACTTAAATTTTTTTTTTTTACAAATTGATATATGCTTGTGTTGTTAAAAAGTGGTATTAACACTTGTGTTATTAAAACAAATTTTCAATATTAACAACAAATTTCATTTGTAGTAAAATAAAATGTTAAATAAAAGTCTTATATGTTTTAATGGTAGGTAACTTTAGAGAAAAAGTAAAATTTGCTTATTGAATAGTATAATGATAATTGTGCTAAAATCAATCAGGTTGAACCTAGCATGATTATATATATTTTTTACAGACTAGTTTAATTTAGACGTAAATAAAAATTTTTAAAAAGTGCTGTATCTGTAAACTGGTTATTGCTGTAGTTCCAATACCTGAAAAAATGTAACTTATAAAACTAAATTAGTCTAAATAAGTATTCACATGTTTGTTACATTATTTCACTAAGATACTTTTTTTAAATTTTTTTTGTTTCATTGATTTATGTTCGATTAAAGTCTATTAGAGTTTTTCTTCTGTAACTGAATATTTTGATTATTTTAATATTTTGATAAAAAAGTTAGTTTTTATAAAAATTCAAACTTTATTATCTTTTTTTCTATTAAATTTATTATATTTGTAAATAATGAGCATATTTTATGTAGTTGTAATTTAAACTTTTTTTAAACAATTTAAACAGTGGTTTAGTTAAAATGTTAACTACTTCATTAAAATTAGAGATGTGCCGGGTACCTGGCTACTTTTTCAGATGTGTTAGTTTACCTTGCAGTTATTAGAGGTGCCTGGTAATTTTTGAGGTGTTTTTTAGTTTTTGAAGGTGCCTGGCAACCCAGAAACACAAAAACTGGTGTTGCTTACATGGAAAAACCTAGCAGCGTACCGGGTACCGGGTAATTTTAAATTACCTGGCAAACATACCTGGAAGATGATGGGTACCGGGTACCCATCATCTATCAGGATTCCAGAGCATTTAAAAAATTTTCATAGCTACTTCAGGGGTAGCTAGGCACCTCCAATTATTAGCTAGCAACTCTAAAAATTACCAAGAATAACAAAAAATTTTGCTGGGTACCTGGCACATCTCTAATTAAAATACTAATAAAATAAACGTTAATTACTTCATTAAAATACCACTAAAAATATCAATGCAGTTATTTAAATATTACTTAACAAAAAAGTTTTTATCTTAATGTAAATAGTATAATGTAATGTCGCTATTTGTTTACATGAAATTTTCTGTCAGGCACTTTGTCACAAGGCCTGAAGCATTGTTTGCAATATATATTTCTTTACATTTTTTTATAAAAATATTTTTAGAGTCAACAACAGCAACTTCTTCTCAAGGTGACGAGTCTTTAAGTATAGAAGAAACTAAGTAAGTGTTAAAAAATTATTTAGTAAATATTTTTTATATTGCAAACTACATTTTAAAAATTAAAGTTGTTATACAATAATGTTATACTGTGTATGTATGTATGTATGTATGTATGTATGTATGTATGTATGTATGTATGTATGTATGTATGTATGTATGTATGTATGTATGTATGTATGTATGTATGTATGTATGTATGTATGTATGTATGTATGTACGTGAATGTATATATGCATATATATATACATATATATATATATGTATGTATATATATATATATATATATATATATATATATATATATATATATATATATATATATATATATATATATATATATATATATATATATATATATATATATATATATATATATATATATATATATATATATATATATATCTGTCTTCCTTGTCTAGCCTATGAAAAGTTAGATAAGGTAGACAGGAGAGACAAACATAAAGATAGTAGAGTATTTCAAACCATTATTATTATTATTATTTTTAATTCTGATTCACTCCCAATAAGGCTGCAACCAACCACTATTAAGTTGGGAGTTACTAGAAAAAAAGAATAGAGTTATAGAGCAAGGAAAAAATTGACAGAAGACTTAAGAAGTTAAAGATGGGAGAGAGTTTCAAAAGGTTGAATTGTGGGGAAAAAATTTAGGTGAATGAAAGTTTTAAGAGATTGCAGGGACAGTAAAAGAATGAGACTTTGATAAATGACTAATTAAGCGAGAATGAGATTTGGTTGATAGAATTAGAGATGAAAGCTCCTTTGAGCAGCGGCCATAATAGTATTTGTAGAAAAAAGAGAGTCATGCAACTTTAGGACAATGGGAAAGAGGCTCAAGCTTAGTAGATAGACCGGGTCCAACTGCATTTACAATGCGATTTTAGACCTTGTCTAAAGGAGAAAGAGTATCATTAGAAGAACCAGCCCAAATATGACAACAGTAATTTATACAGAGAGGAATAAGAGATTTGTAGAGTTAGAGAATGGAATCAGGAGAGGGGCATTGGCAAGCACGATAAAGAAAAGCAACCTTAGCAGATGTTAATTTAGCAATCTATTGTATATATGGTTTCTATGAATGGTCAGTAGTAAATGATAATCCAATAAGACGTAAAGAAGAGGACTCTGTCAGAGGGAGAGGACTGAGTGAAAGGGTTGCCATTCATCAATATAGGAATGTCGACAGTACTGTGATAGTTGTTTGCAGTAAATAACTGAGTTTTGTTGGATTTAAAATTTACAAGCCACTGTGAATAAAATTTACAAGCCACTGTGAATAAAATTTACAAGCCACTGTGAATAAAATTTACAAGCCACTGTGAATAAAATTTACAAGCCACTGTGAATAAAATTTACAAGCCACTGTGAATAAAATTTACAAGCCACTGTGAATAAAATTTACAAGCCACTGTGAATAAAATTTACAAGCCACTGTGAATAAAATTTACAAGCCACTGTGAATAAAATTTACAAGCCACTGTGAATAAAATTTACAAGCCACTGTGAATAAAATTTACAAGCCACTGTGAATAAAATTTACAAGCCACTGTGAATAAAATTTACAAGCCACTGTGAATAAAATTTACAAGCCACTGTGAAAATACTGTGAAAATTGAGATCAGATTCAAGATCAGCTGCCTGTTCTAAGCGATCGAAAAGAGAAGACTTTTTGTCAAAACAGGAGTATAAAGTTGAGTCATAAGCAAAAGAGCTACTTTAGATTTAAGGTCGTCGAGAAGATCATTAATGTAGATAAGAAAAAAAATAGGACCAAGGATAGAACCTTGAGATACCTTAGAAGTTACTGGAAATAAAGAAGAGTGTTGGCCTTTGAGGGTGACTTTAATAAAGCGGTTAGAAAGAAACATTTTGAAATCTCAAAAACTTTCATAGATACACCAAACTTATGGAGAAGACAAGTTTATTAAAAAAAAGCTAAATAAAGATTATTTGAGCATGAAGGAATGGTTACAATAACAGAATGCATTTTTGCTCAATGGTGAGTCAGGCCAAATTGAGTTTTAATTAATGGATCAAGTGATGATAGCTCGCTTAAGAAGCTACTATGGCAGTGTTTGGTGAGTGAGTTTACAATGAATGGGAAAGAGGCTCAAGCTTGGCAGTAAAAGTCTTTTGTTGTCTAACAACATTTGCAATGCATTTTTAGGTCTTAAAACTTACTGTTGTCAATTTTTGGCTGGTTTTTCTAAACATGAAATGGCCTCATTAGAAGAACCAGCCCAAATATGACAACAGTATTCTATACAGAGACATATAAGAGACTTAAAAAGGTAGAGAATGGAATTGGATGTAATATTATGAGGAGCAAAGAAATGCAACCTTAACAGATGCCAACTTTGTATTGGATTTGATATTTTCTATGAGAGATCAGTTGTGAATGATAATCCAAGAAGTTGCCAATCATCAATTAAGAAAATATTGGGTTAAAGTTTACCAGCAAGTACCTAAGTGAGCAAAAAGTGATGACTTTTTGTTAAGATATATAGTTGTGTCATCAGCAAAGATTAAGATGTTTTTGATAAGATTTTTTGTTGAGATGTTTTTGATAAGAATTTTTGTTTTGTTGTGTCAAAAAGGTCTAAAAAAAAAAGCTTAAAAGATTAAAAATTATTTTTATTTTGAATATAATGATCAAAATAAGAAGAATAACCCAGGATCTAAGATAAAAATTTGTGGTTCTCTACAAGTTACTACTAATAAAGGAGAGTTATCCAAATAAGCTATATAAAGAAAGCTTTTAAAGAAGACCTTCATGCAGTAAAACATAAAGATAGTAGAGTATTTCAAACCATTATTATTATTATTATTTTTAATTCTGATTCACTCCCAATAAGGCTGCAACCAACCACTATTAAGTTGGGAGTTACTAGAAAAAAAGAATAGAGTTATAGAGCAAGGAAAAAATTGACAGAAGACTTAAGAAGTTAAAGATGGGAGAGAGTTTCAAAAGGTTGAATTGTGGGGAAAAAATTTAGGTGAATGAAAGTTTTAAGAGATTGCAGGGACAGTAAAAGAATGAGACTTTGATAAATGACTAATTAAGCGAGAATGAGATTTGGTTGATAGAATTAGAGATGAAAGCTCCTTTGAGCAGCGGCCATAATAGTATTTGTAGAAAAAAGAGAGTCATGCAACTTTAGGACAATGGGAAAGAGGCTCAAGCTTAGTAGATAGACCGGGTCCAACTGCATTTACAAATAGGTAATTACATAAAGGAGAGTTATCCAAATAAGCTATATAAAGAAAGCTTTTAAAGAAGACCTTCATGCCACAATTTATTGAATACTTTTGATATGTCAAGAACAATAGTTCTTGCCTCTCAGCTTCCATTTAATGTTTATGTTTTAATAGAAGTTTTATGCTATCAAGTGTTTTATGTTATAACAGTTAAAAGGTCATTTAACCTTTAACAAGTCAGCAGTTGAGGAAGAAGATTGAAATCCATATTAATTCTCAGTTAGAAAACTTTAAATATCACAAGATGAGATATTAGAAGTTATTATAAGTTAATATTATTATAATATTATAAGAATCAGTTTGTTAAATAAATTTTGAAAGATTCTACTAATAATGGTAAAAAGACTGATTGGACAATAATTAGAGGGGTCTGAACGATCTCCCGAGTTTCTAAAAATTAGTACCACAGATGCCATTTTCTAGAAGTAAAAAAAAACAAGGTTCAGTAAAGCACATTTTAATTTATTTAGAGAGTAATGAAGTTTTAGAGAACAAGACTGAACAAGAACAAACTAATTTTTTTAACACTTTTGTAAGACTGGCAAGAATGTTATTTGGTTAAGTTAAAGTAGAAAAAATAACTTTAGCTTTAGAAAAAACTGAGCACAAGCTAAGGTCAATTTAATAACATTTTTATTGGATAAATATGCAAAAAATAAATTTTAGAAAATCATAATTTTTTTAGTTGTAACAGTCTCTTAAAATAAAAAATGTTTAAATTTTTGTGTCGTCTAACACCAGGTCACCATTTTAACATTACTGTTGAATTGTTTTTGGTATTAAGTGCAGTACAACACTTATTATATATAAATATATATAAATGTTAAAATAATTAATTATTATCTTAACTATTACCTTAATTATTCTCTTAATTAGATCTAAATGCTCCATTAACAGTATTCAAAGCATAACAAAATTACTTTTTTTTTAATACTGTTACCACCTTTCTAAGAGTACGTAGGTATGTGACCATTAGTTTACAGTTGACCACTATTTTTTTTTAATTGTTGTCTCTGTCATCCCTTAAACTTTGAAACATTTAAGGAATGTGCTAGTGGAGAGTGATACTATCAGGGTTGTTGCAAGGATTGAATTTGAAAACCCTTATTTATGATCTGAAGGCTCTATCACTTCATCATTAATACATAATTATATTGTGGTTATACTACACTACTACCATGTTGTGTTCATATAAAAGGAAATGATAAAGAAAAGTTTGAACCTATTTATTCTTTCTAAATTTAAAACTGATGTAAATATATTAATAAATGGCAACACTCTTTCCTAGTCCTCTACTTTATGTTTACTAAAAAATATAACTAACTATATATCTAATCTATTACAAAGTTTGTATCTTTTTATTGTCAGCCATTTTCTTACTTGACTTCTATGAACTTATTTATATTTGGGCTGATTCTGTTAATGTTTTTTTTTTCTTCTGACAAGGTCCAAAAATGCATTAAAAATGTACACTATGCTTCGAGCATGAGTATGTACAACAACGTCTACGCCGAGCTAGCGTAGCTGTTTAAGCAAGCTTTCACCACTTGTTTCATCAAATCATAGTTTTGTGTGTCTGTCATTCAGTGGTGTGTAATTCAGTAGTTTCACATCCTTTTACTATAACTGTTCCTTCATGTCCAAAAAAGTTTTTTTTTTTCTAAAACATCAATTCTTTGGAAGTTTTTTTGAGCTTTAAATCTCTTTAATTAACTCTTTTATCTCTTTAGTTATTTCTTTAATTAACTCTTTTATCTCTTTAGTTATCTCTTTTATCTCTTTAGTTATCTCTTTTAACTCTATTATCTCTTTAGTTATCTCTTTTAACTCTTTACTAACACTCCTAACTTTTTTTACTTTTTAGTAATTCCTGACTATAATAATAATATATTCAATATTTAATTCCTGACTTGAATTATGGTTGATGTTTTTTTCAAAAGTAAATTTGTTAATCATATTGTTTTTTTTTTTTTTATCAATTCACATTCTCAATGCCGAGAAGGCCACTTATAAGGGTTATAACCACAGGGTTATAACCACAAATAAGTAGCCCCCATAAGGGGGCTACTTATTTGTGGTTATAACCCTCTCTCAACTCTATAACTCTGAAACAATGCGGAGAAACGAGTTGAGCGTAGTACTACCAGAGGCGTGGTGGGGATTGAACTTGGAACCTTTTGCTTATGAAGCGAGCGCTCTACCACTATACCACTACCGCATGTTATGAATTACTATTATGTTTTTTGTGAGCTTTAACAAAATAAATAGAAAAACAATTTTTTTAAATCAGTAATCGTTTCTTGAATTATAATAATAATGGACTAAACAGGCTCTGAGAAAAATATCAAGGTTTTTTTTTTCATACACATCAATTATATAAATTTAGTAAAATGATTTAGTTGTAACTTAATTTTTCATTTTGAACAAAACATGTGATTTTACTTGGTTGTCACATTTCCTAAAATGTAATCAATAATACGCAAAGTTGGAGTAAATGTGTTTAAGACAAAAATATGAAATCTCCACGCCACCTCAAAATTCAAGAGTGGTTCTACATCCCTGCTTTATTTCCCTGACTAAATTAAATAATGTATGTATCTATAAATAGTTGTTTTTTTAAATAAAAATATCTTTAATCGAAACAAAAGGCTGATATATGATACAAATTAAAAAAGGAGTCCTAAATTAAAATTTTTTATTTTATTTAAAATTCACAAATTTTTTATTAAAAAAAAATGTTTAGTTGTAAATTTGATAAGAATAAGTTTAAATACAAAAAGTTAAAGCTTTCAAATTATATTATTAAATATACTAGATAAAATTTATTATATTTGGAAATGTAAAATGTATTTAAAAAGCAAGTGATCAATAGTAATCAAAAGTAGGGTGGATAAAAAGTAATCAAAAGTAGGGTGGATTAAAAGTAATCAAAAGTAGGGTGGATTAAAAGTAATCAAAAGTAGGGTGGATAAAAAGTAATCAAAAGTACGGTGGATTAAAAGTAATCAAAAGTAGGGTGGATAAAAAGTAATCAAAAGTAGGGTGGATTAAAAGTAATCAAAAGTAGAGTGGATTAAAAATAGATATGCAATTATGAAATAAAGAAAATTATAACAATTTTTTTTTTACAACTGTCACATGTCTCATATTTTGTAGTCTAACAAGAATTAGATAAAGTTGATTTCAAATATGACATTATTTTCCTTATTTTGATGTTCATGTTTTTATTTTTTTAGCAAACTGAGAGCAAAGCTTGGATTAAAACCACTTCAAATCGGTTCAAGTTCTTCAACAGGTTGTTTTTTTTTCCCTGCAATCAGGTTTTTACTACTTAGATTATATGTCTCCTATTTAATAAGCTTATGCTATTTCTTGGAAATTTAAAAAAAGTAAAAATATAATTTCAATAATGAACAATTTAACAAATTGAATCAATTTTTTCCTGTAAAGTTTTACTCTAAAAGAGTTTTATATGTTTAGAAAAATAACATAGTTTGCTCCTAGTGGCAAATATACAGTAGTAACTGTATATTACAGTATTACTGTAATGTTGCTGAAAGTACAATAAATAACAATTAAATTAAATATAATTTCTTTAATATGTTTTTGTTTTTTTTAGTCTAAATTAATCAGCACACTATATACAGCAATTAAGATATTTATCCTTCAATAAAATTTACCAATGTAGAGAACACACTAGATAGTCGATAAAAATTCCATGTAGCAGATATTCTGTTAAGAATAATGGTTTCTCTTAATGAACAACTTTCTTTTATTACTTTATTTTATTATATTCTTTTATTATTATTTTCAATTCTAAATTTACTTAGTCTGATTTTTTCTAATTTTAGTTTGATTTCTTATATTTTCAGCTTCTATATTATTTTTATTTTTGAAGTGGTACACCAGTTGATTAGGATTACCCCAATGATATATTTGAAACACTTAATTAAATCTCCTCAAAACTGTTGAGATTCTAGCGTTGTAAGTTTAAACTTTTTAAATTCATAACTCAGATGTGAGAGAGGTTCCTTGTATGAGATGCTCTTCTTTGAAATTTTTTAAAGGAGTTTTATATGAAAGTTTATTTCATATAAAATTTCTACATCAATACTTTTAAATTGAATGCTTTTCAAAATTAAAGCAATAATACTCAAAGAAAAATTTTAGTAAATATGTAAGTTTATAAATAAAGTTTTTTATTGTTATTATGAGTTTTATAATTACCTTTGTTATATCATTTAAACTTTTTCACAAATGTCATATTAAATTTAACTTAAATTTTCTTAGTGGAAGAGAAGTCATACGAAGACAGAGAAGATGTGCACAAACCTGCTGGAAACATTAGTGTCCAACAAAGCTCAGAAAAGGTTTTTTTTTTTTTTTTTTTTACTTTTTGAAAAACTGTTTAACAGTTCCTTCTTGTTATTTATAATAAGTTTGATTTTTTAAGTTTTATTAAATAAGCTAATAATTATTAAAACAAACAACAAAAAAACAACAACAATAACAATGAAATAATAAAATATTATAAAATTAAAAATTGCATCTATTTTTTTATGAAATTTAAGTACTAGTATATTTGTCTATATTTATATTGTTTAAATGTAGATTCGTGATAAAATGGAAGCAATTCGAGAGAAACGCAAGATCAATCAAAAACTACTGTATAACTTTATTAAATTTATTATATATATATATATATATATATATATATATATATATATATATATATATATATATATATATATATATATATATATATATATTTATATATATATCGATGAGTTAATTTTAAAACATTGTATATCCATTTTAGACTGTTGTGAAAAAAAGTATGTATGTATGTATGATAATTTTAAAATTATTTTTCATTACTGTCTGAAGACCTAACAAACTCTCACTATTTTAATCTCCCTTATAAACAGGCTCTGAGAAAAATATCAAGGTTTTTTTATTTTTTTATTCTTATATTGATAAAATATCTTAGCTAACAAAGCCAAGATTACAAGCAATTATTAAGAGGCATTGTAAGTCGGTTACTGTAACAGGTTTGGACGGGAAGTGGATGCAATTGCACTTTATATCTGACCATGCATATAATATTTAGTTGCAACATAATGGCGACAGCCTTTTAGATGCTTTGAGAACATTTCAAAATGAGCAAAACAAACTTAACTACTAAAAAAATTAACTAAAAAAAGAAATGAATTCTTAACAAATAATAATATAAAAAGCTAATATAAAAACATTTGATTACAAAAAAAATTTCGGACATATAAAAACATACATAAATTTAAATGTTCTCAAAACATCTAAAAAGCTGTGGCCAAGTTGTCGCAACTAAATATAACTTGCACAGTCAGGAATAGAGTAGGATCACACATGCTTCCGAATCATGCTGTAAGATTAGTATTCACTTTGCTAAAACTTTTTTTCATCTAAAGATCACTTTTCTGTTAATTATATAATTTATACATAATAATATTTATATATACTTAAATAATATTTTTTCAGTTTTAAAAAAACTACAAAAATAACTACTTTAGCCACTAATCTTTATTACTATTTCTTTATAAGCAGATTTTTTTTAATATTAAAATTTAAATTTTTTTTATTTTAATTTTCTTTATTTCTTTACTTTTTTTACTATTAATTTCACTTGTGGCAAAGTGTATATACATAGAACTATATAGTCATAGGTGCTTTAAAGTGTACATTTATTGATGGATACAGCTATAGGTGCAACAAGGTGTACATACATTGACAGAGAGTTTTGGTTCATATGATAGTGTTTGGACCATACATTAATAATGACAATTAAAAAAGTTTATTTTTATTTTTATTATTAAAAAAATTTTCATTAAATTTTTTTTTTTTTTAATGTGACACTATTATGACATTTTCACACTAAACAAACTGCAGCTGTGAGCAATTGTGATTGTCAAAAATTTGATTTAGGTGTTTTAATTTAGCATGATATAACAGGTTCATTAATTAAGATAGTTGTGCTGTATAGCTGAGTACAGATTAAATAAAGTGCTCTCTAACTCGAGAGAAAATTTTTCATTCCATTAGTTACATGGCTAGAGCCATTAGACACAGCTGAAATGTGGTTAGTAATTAAAGTGCTGGCAGTGCATTGAAAATTAGTCAAGCATGATGAGGTTTGTCTTGATAACTTTTGGGAATGTGTAAAAGTTGAGACAAGCCTCAAACTCTCCATTAAGTACATTAAGTTGCTGCAGAAACCGGTGTGACTGCTAATTTACATGAAGTTTAGTAAGTTATTCGTGCTTTTAACCTGTGACACAAAAAATTTCAGCAAAAATCATCATTGACAACAAAACATAAATAAATCGATTATATTATGCAAAGGACCACATAACATTGAAAGAAGAGTTGTAGCAAGTAGTATTTTCTGACAAAAAAAGAGTTTAATTGATGGTTCAAATAGATGGAATTATTTTCATGATTTTTGTAAAGAACCAGTAGTATAGAAATAGTGCTAGATGGGTGGTGTTGATGTAAGTATTTGGTGTGCAATTGGATATCAGGTTAAATCAGAAATTCAGTTTAATGATGGAAAAATGAAGGCTAAAACTTTTAATTGTTCAAAAGTTTTTACAACATGAAGCATCTGTTATTGGTTGTGAAAATTTTGTTTTTATTTTAGCAAGATAATGCTTGCGTTCATACAGTTAAGTTAAGGATTGTCTCAACAAAATAGTGAAATAAAAAACTTTTAAATAGCTAGGTCTCCAAATCTCTAGCTAGGTCTTAATATTATTGAGAATGCTTGGGAACAGCGGTCACCTATTTGAAGGTGGTAAACATTGTAATTCATTTGTTGAATTGAAACCATCCATAACATCTGCATGGTATACAATTGACATCTCATACATAAGAAAGTTGTGATTCAAAAAAATGTCAGCAGTACCCATTTTCACCATTTTTTGACACATTAAAAAAAAAAATTATATAGTTTTTTTCTCAAAGTGTTTTAAAATTTTGATGCTCTGAAAATAAATCTGGTTTTTTGAAGTAAAAATTGAATTACATGTAAATTTTGTTAAATATTGTCTGATATTGTAAACTCCTTGCTTTCATTTACTATAAAAATTAGTATTTAAACTAATTTTCATAATAAATGTATTTTTTAATACTTTGCTTTTTCATTTTGTTGCTTAGTGTAGCTATGAGCACTATTGTGCTCATAGCTATATCTGTTGATGTATGTATGCACCTATGGCTATATCTGTTGATGTATGTATGTACCTATGGCTATATCTGTTGATGTATGTATGTACCTATGGCTATATCTGTTGATGTATGTATGTACCTATGGCTATATCTGTTGATGTATGTATGTACCTATGGCTATATCTGTTGATGTATATATGTACCTATGGCTATATCTGTTGATGTATGCATGTACCTATGGCTATATCTGTTGATGTATGTATGTACCTATGGCTATATCTGTTGATGTATGTATGTACCTATGGCTATATCTGTTGATATATGTATGCACCTATGGCTATATCTGTTGATGTATGTATGCACTTATGGCTATATCTGTTGATGTATGCACACTTCACATCATTTTAAGCTATATTAGTTGATGTATGCACACTTGATGTACGCACACACAAAAATAAAAATAAGAAAGTTATAAAAAGTAAAATAAAAAAACATTCAAGAAATATAAAGATAAGTTAAAAAAAAAATAAATATAATTAATTTAAAAATTTATTGTAAATTTTATTGCAAGCAATAAAATTTGCAATTAATTTTTAACTTAACTTTATATTTCTTAACAAAACAAACATTTTTATAACAAAAAAACAATTAATGTAATTGTTTTAGGTGACATTTAAAAGTTAAGGTTGAAACATAGTCATCAAGTTTGACTATATTAATTTAATATTTTTATGTGTAAGATATAATTATAATGTATAACAGTTTAATATATTGTATAGTGTTATATAATAAATCATGCAATTTTGTATAATTTTATTACATTTAGATGTTTTATTTCTCAACATATTCAGATATCTTATTTAATATAATATATAACCGGATTTATTTATGTTTTATATTTATTTAGAAAGGTGCGAGGAATAGCTGATGATGATGATCCTGTTATCGATAGTGCTGCTGCATGGGTAGCTAAATCTCGAATGTTAGAAAAAGAAAAAGTAATGGCTGAAAAAAGGGTAAGTTTTAACTATTACATATATATATATAATAATAATAATAATAATAATAATAATATATATATATATATATATATATTATATATATTTTATTATTATATATATATATATATATATATATATATATATATATATATATATATATATATATATATATATATATATATATTATATATATTTTATTATTATATATATATATTATATATATATATATATAATATATATATATAATAATAAAAAATTTATATAGGTTGAGAATGGAATCAAGCGTAAGAAAATAACACAACAAAAAGCTATCTTAGCAGGTGTTAACATTGAAATGGATTTGATATATGATTCCCATAAAAGCTCAGTAATACAAGATAATCCAAAAATGCATAATGTTGATGACTCAGTAAAAGTGTTGTCATTAATCAAAATGAGAGTCATTGTATCTAAATGGGAATTATTGCAACATTTGGATAATGATTGTTATTTTTAATAAATGATAATTATCAAGTAATTACCTCTAACTGCAGCTAGTAATTACCTCTAACTGCAATACTTAAGTTATTACAGGAGAGATTACACTCAGCACCAGCTGCTTGTTTTAAGTTATCAAAGATTTATATAGTCAGCAAATAGAACTGCTTTAAGAGTTAAGATTGCCAGTAATATAGATTATACTATATATCCCGGTCTGTTTTTTGGTCTTAATACAAGCTGCAAACTCATTAATTTTTTTTCTTAAAGGAAAAGCATAGAAAACTCATTTAAGTTCTATTATTTTTAACTTCTATTATTTTCAATTACATTTTTAAAACTAAGTTTAATTTGAATGCAATTTTATTTGATTTAATTTAATTAATATATTAAATAAATATAGTAAATAAAGTTATTATTAATATTTTTTGAATTAGATATAGCGGTATCTATTGGATTAAACTCAAATAATTTGAACAACTTTGATATTTATATTTGTTACTAGGCAACCCTAATATTTATATTTTTTGTTTTTAATCCTAATCTTAACAATGTTGTTTTATAATTATTTAAAATTTTTGTTTCAAATTATTGCTCAATTTTATTTTCAGATTTTTTTTTACATTTTATATTTATATTTATATTTTTTACATTTTTTTTTAAATTTATTTGTTAAGCTAGGCAATTATTCTTGTTGTTAAGACAATAAGCAATATCTTTCGAAACAGTAAAGAGATTCCAAGTTTGTTGGGATTTAACTCATGCTATTTATAAAAAAAATTTTGGTCAAAGTTTTTTTATATTTTATATTTATATTTTTTACATTTTTTTTAAATTTATTTGTTAAGCTAGGCAATTATTCTTGTTGTTAAGACAATAAGCAATATCTTTCGAAACAGTAAAGAGATTCCAAGTTTGTTGGGATTTAACTCATGCTATTTATAAAAAAAATTTTGGTCAAAGTTTTTTGATTTGCAAAAAATAATTATAAAAAAATTAAATACAAAAAAGTTAATGCAAATAGCTATTTTTTACTTTAATTACGTATAATTTTTTATCAAATTTTTTTGATTGGCAAGTTTTCGTTAAACTAATTTTTGCATTGGTATAGGCTCAAATGCTGGAAGAGCTAGATGAGGAATTCGGAGTGTCTGATATAGTTGAAGATGTTGTAGGCAATAAAAACAAGGTTAGAAGATTTAGCACTTTATTTTTTTAACATTTCATTTATTTATTTTTTTCAATTTTTATTTCATAAATGGTTTTCATTTCTAAATTTATTTTAGCAATCATATACATCAAAAGATTTAAAAGGTCTTAAAGTTGAACATAAAGGAAAGGCATTCCAGGTTGGTCTTTAATCTTTTTTTAATCTTTAAATTTAATTCTAGGTTGGTGTAATACCTCTTTTATTTGTTAAATTTAATTCCAGTTTGATGGACTACTTTATGTAATTGTTAAAATATGTTTAAATATATTGTGTAATTAGAAGTATTTTTCACCATAGTTTTTTTTAATTTTTAAAATTTTTTTGGTTTGTTTTTTAAAGGGAAATGTAGTTTTTCAATTTTTTATATCTGGGTACAGAAAAAATAGCGTGTGTGTGTGTTTATTCTAAATAGATTTAATAATGAAAAAAAAAATTAATAATAATATTAATAATTAATTTTTGAAATTGTACTCACTTAAGGTTACCGAGGCTACTACAGGTGAGGAGTCTTCTCTTTTTTTTCTTTCCTCAAATTATTTTTACAACTCCTCAACATTTTTTTACTTTCCAAAATTCCAAAACACAAATAATGCGCAAAATCTGTCTACACAAAGAAGTATCAAAATATCAATGCATAAATAGCTATGCATAAAATGTAAATAATGATGTAGATACAACTACATATCAAAGACATTTCCTAGAAATTTTTTTTTTTTTTTAATGTCGAAAAAATATCTAAGTTAAAGTTTAAAGGTCTTTTTTTTAAGTGTGCTAAATATATTAAAGCAGTGCCAGTCTAAATCTGTTTAAGTAAGTTTATGATTTTGTGTTATTATTTTAATGCATTGTTTTACTCTTTATTGGTTTATTCATGATTTATAGAAATACTAAGCTGCTTTTCTCCATTATGAATTTTATTCTCCACCAATAAACTGATAAAAAAAAAGCAAATCAAAGCATATGAGAAAGAAAAATATGACATCAAAAACTAGACCTTAATCATAATGAATAAATAAATTTAAAAAGTTTCTAAACAGAGAGCCCTATATTATTTTCATTTTCAGTTTTTTAACAGATTTTATCATTTGATATCATCTTTTTAATAAATAATGATAACATTTTCAATATGATTGTTGTTAGTAAAGGTGTGAAGTAATATGGTTTTAGCATTTGATGTTATAGTTGATTTTATAATCGATGCTATAGTTGATAATATATTGTTGATTTAAGTCATTACTTTTTAAGAATTTCTTTTGAAAAAAAAACTTTTTTTAAAATAAGTTTTTGTTATAGGATGGGGAAGTTGTACTTACTTTAAAAGATAAAGGAATCCTAGATGAAGACAATGAAGATGTTTTAATGAACATCAATATTCAAGAAGAAGAAAAGGTTGTCTTAAATTAATGAAAGCTTGTAAAACAAGCTAAAAACCAGTTTTATGTTAATAATTTTATTTAAATATAAAGATTTATGTAAATATATACTAGAAATTATTTCAAGGGTAAGTCATAAAAAAAATTAGATATCAGATAGTTATAATGTAACTAGTTTTTGTTTTATTTGCAACTTGCAAAAGTTTCATTTATAATTTGTTTTATTTTTAACTTGGATGAAAGATAAGCTTATAAGATATTGATATTATTTCATATATATTATAAAGCTCTAGACACTTTAAAAAGCTGTTGGCCATGTTAAACAAATAAAAATTGAATTATCATTTGTTTACTTAAGGCTAAGAAAAATGTTTATAATCGTACGCATAAACCTGGTTACAGAGCTTATGATGAAGTAGACGATGACACAGGATTGGTAATTGTTTTAATTTCATTTTTTATTTGTATTTTATGATATTTAAAAAAATTCATAAAGTGTAATTGTAACAAATTAGAATAATTAATTTTTAGTTAAAAATAAAAGGTGTGCTTGATAAATATGACGATGAAATAAATGGAACAAAGCAAGAGTCTTTTAGACTAGGTTTGTTAATTGTTACAGTTGTTTCAGTTTTTAAAACTGATATAAGTTTTTTGTAGGAATTTATTTTAACTTTTTTCATATAAGATTTTTTATAAGATTAATGCTAATCCTTATGAATGACAGTAACATAACAGATTAATATAAACATATTAGAGTTTAATTAACAGATAAATATTGTTATAGAATAAATAACAGTTTTAAGACATTTTTCATTAAACTCTTTAGTTTATATCTCTGATTGAACCTATAAATGAATTATTTATTATTAACTAATTTTTTTTATGTTAAACCATCATAAGTAAAAAAGTAAAAAAAATTTTACTTTTTTACTTATGATGGTTTAACATAAAAAAAAGATCTGAAACATTTAAAATAGTGAAAAAAATGCTTGAAATAAAAAAAGTGCTTTAGATAACAGAAAATGATAGTATCTAGTATCTACTGCTGATTTGTTAACTATTATGAAAAAAATGTTTGTGCATTAGATGGAAACAGTGAGGTAAGAACTATTACTCCTAGCATATCAAAGACTTTTAATAGAGTCTATTAAAAGGCATTATGGTCATTGTCATATGGGTGTATCTGGGTGTTTCTGGGTCATCATCGTAAGGGTGTATCTTCATAGGGTGTATCTAGGTAAGTTTTTAAAACTATTGAATTATTCCTTTCTAACAGCAGTATTTGATGGGCTACATTATTCTTCATTTCAGGCTTCTAGGGTACTATAATGCTTTGTCTTTTTTTCTGTATTAATAAATCTATATTAATAATTTTCCTAATAATCTTACCTTAAGGTTTTTGCTGATGATACTACTATATACTAGTGTGGTGCTATTTTTTATTATCTCATTAAACTTTTTTTATATCATGAATAATTGTATTTTAAGAATAATTTGATAAAAAATAATTGTTTAATCTAAAATTTTATTAGGTCAAGTAATGTTACTTAGAGAAATCAGAAAAATTACTTATTAGAATTATTGGAGAGTTAGTATGATATTATATATTTTTAAATTAGCTGAAGTTAACAGTTTGTATAGTATAAAATTAACTTAATTATTATTGGTAAATTAAAAATAAATTATTTTTAATCAATATCTGTTTTACTATACATTTTTATAAATATTCTATAAATATTTCTATATATTTCTATGTCCAATATAAGTGCTAAGAGAGCATTAAAGAAGAAGGCAAACACATTTAAACCACCATGTTCAAAAGAATCCAGGGAGCTGCCGGTTTCAAATGTTGCATATGGATTATAAACAAAAAGCTTGGCTAATTTCAAAACTATTTCAGAAACAATTTCATGCAAATAATAGCGAAAGATTTTAAACAGTTCTGGAATACAAACTTTAGCTTGCAATATCCAGACAAATTTAGCTTATCCAGACTTTAGCTTGCAATATCCAGACAAAGAATTTGAAAAAAACATTTTTGAAGAGAAAATCAACAAAGAATTTTCTTATAGTGTTTGATATCCTCGACAAAAATATAAAAATAAAGACAGGAGAACAGATCTTTTATGATCATCAAATGGATAATAAAAAGAGGTGTGTATCAGCCAGCCAAATAGTTGTTGAGCAACCTGCTAACATGCAGTTGATAGAAAAAAATATAGATCTTAGCTTATATAAAGCAATTATAAACAAGGTCAAGCTCTTTTTTCTTTTTTCAGCTATTGTTAGAACATTATTATTGAACAAACCAAAAGAAAGCTTAAAACAAAAATGAGTAATAATAGTTCTTAACATAAATGTAAAGTATTTTTTTTTAAATATATTTACTTTATTTTTGGTTTAAGGCAATGCCAATTGCTATTACGTGCATAGAAGCTGTTATCTCAACCTACAAAGGAGTTAGGATAACTCACTTGTTAAGTTATTTCCATGAAGATATTTCCACTCCACATCAATCTGCTTTTCTTAGAGCAGTCACAACTCTGGTTAAACTTAAAATAGCTTTGTCTATTCAATCATCTTTTATCTTATATTTTGATGGGATAGATATGGCACCATATGATTATGTTATAAAGAAAGCAGAGTGTATGGTCATTGCGGTTCAGTCAGAGGGACCAATATTTTGCTAAATTTGTCTCAAAACACTACATACTAAAGGAACATTTAAAAATCTAGCAGTTATGATAAAGGAAACATTGTTATTAGTATGATGTTGTTCATAAAATAACTCTTATTATTTGTGACACCTGCTCTGTCAATATAAGTTAGTAAAATTTATATCATTTATTTTTAAATACGTGTGATTTAATAAATAATTACATTTTATTTTAGGTGGATCTTATGATGGCTCTGGTGGAATAATAGGGATTTTAAGGACCGAGCTATTTAACATCTCTATTTCTTAATATGGGTGCTGGGTGCAATCCACACATTTTGCACCTTGTTTTTAAAATAATGTTAATTTCCCACTTGCCAACAACAACAAAATCGCCTGCTTTAACTGATTTTAAGTTTATAAGGTAACTAAAAAAAAGTATCCACAAATAAAAGAATCATAAAATGTTCTGCATAAAATGTTCTGCATAAAATGTCTCATCCTCCTCCAACTGTTAAAACCTGGAGAGATGATTATAGGCTATTAGTTAGGTTTATTTCTTCAATTTTTTTAACAGTTTAACAATTCAGCAAATATCAATGATAGATATTTTTTAATTTTTTTTAATTCGAATCTTCATGGTATATTTTTCTATACGATGTTCTTATATTCAAAGATGTTGTTGGCTTAGCATAGGAACAGCCACAAATAGTTATTAAGACTAATCCAAAGTGGTGTCCGTTATTGACCAACATTTTTGCGTAACGAAGTACTACTCAAGTGCTGAGTTGGCAGTGGCAGGATTTGAACTCGTATCTTAAAACAGTCTGGGTTTAAACTTTTTGTTTGACATTCTAACCAACCGTCAGTCATTTGACTGACTCTAACCAACTGAACCAATTTTTGAAAAAAGTCATTATTGCATCACTCTATTATATTGCATCACAAAATGCATCATGAAATTATTTGCTTTTACTTTTAAGTCCCTATAAATATAAAAAACAAATATCATTGATCATTTATTTTTAAATCATAATTTTAAAATAATATGGTAAGTTGTCTGATATGTTACCATTGCTCATAAAATTAATTGCAGTTTGATTCAAATAAGTATATAATGTAAATTTTTAAGATTTCTATTGGTTGCTATTGGTTACTGCTGTTGTTAAATAGTCAGTTTTTTTATTTTATAAAATTTATTAAAAGAGATTTTATCTTGAATTTTTTTAAATTGAAATAAATCAATTGATCACAATAAATTTTTATATGAAGTAATAATAAAATAAAAATTCAAAACTAAAATTTATTAAAATGAAAACAAGTGTATATAAAAATTTGTATATTTTGTAAGTCATTTGTATATAAAAAATGTGATCAAAATAAACAAACCACAACAACAAAATTAAAAAAAACTATAATAAAAAATTTACAAAATATGTACAAAAAAACACAAAATGAAATTAATATTTTGTTTTAGCTTTTAAGTATACATTGATGCGATCGGGGATGAAATTCACTTAATTTTTTTGCAAGCAGCTTGCCACTTGTAGTTTGTTTTTTCTCCTATTGTTCAAGTGCTAGCAACAACATAAGTTTCTTGCCATTTCTAACTGAGATCAGTAGATGATAACTTTCTAATATTTTTCAATATGGAAATAAAAGGATGTTCACTTTTTTAATTTAAAATTCTGGGTCTTCACGTAGGTGGAGGATTTTCAGTTGTATAGTATTCATGATATCAGTTGGTTATTCTGTTAAGCATTGCATGTCTTTTGTTTATATGTTTTGCAAGTTCTCTCATTGAGATGTTTTGTTCATTCATTGCTATGATTTTACACTTTGTAATGTTATCAATAGTTTTTCCAGTCATTTTGATCGTTTTATCACAAAAATCTTGTAGTTAATTAGATGTAATGTTGTAGTTAATGTTGTAGTTAATAAACCAATAAAACTTTGAAGAAAGTTTAAAATAAAAGAGTGGATTGTTAATTTTGTCCATTATAATTATATTAGATGCTACAAAAAAAAAATACTAGCAAATTCATTCAAATTTTATTATATCTTATTTATATTTGCAAGAAACTATCATGAAAATGCTCATCAATTAACACTTTTTATATTTAAAGAGAGTCAAACAATTATTGATTTTTAACCAATCAAAGTCAAATGATATCAAAAAAAACAATATACTGGATTACTATTAATGGCCAATACTTTATATGTATGTGTGTGTGTGTGTGTATATATATATTTATATATATATATATATATATATATATATATATATATATATATATATATATATATATATATATATATATATATATATATGTATATATATATATATATATATATATATATATATATATATATATATATATATATATATATATATATACACACATATATATATATATATATATATATATATATATATATATATATATATATATATATATATATATATATATATATATATATATATATATAAATATATATATATATATATATATAAATATATATATATATATATATATATATATATATATATATATATATATATATATATATATTACATAAGAAGTTTGGTTATTTGAAAAAATACAACTTTGTGATGGAACTTAAAGTTTCATGCCCTTCGGCAATTATCAGCCATATTTTATTCTTTAAATTAAGAAAAAACCATTAAAAAATACAAAATACAGAAATTAACAGAAAAAAACCATAACAAAGCAATGGAATGAGTTCTGGCGTCAAAACAAACAGTTTTATAATTAATTAAAAAATTGCTCAATCACCCGTGTCGAATAGGGTGAGAAGGAACTTGTTTCGATGCCTATATATATATATATATATATATATATATATATATATATATATATATATATATATATATATATATATATATATATATATATATGTATATATATATATATATATATATATGTATATATATATATATGTATATATATATATATATATATATATATATATATATATATATATATATATATTAATATTATATTATTATTAGGGTGTTGACTTTTTGGTATCTCCAGTTTCCTGTACAAAAAACAGATGAAAATATATGTATATATATATATATATATATATATATATATATATATATATATATATATATATATATATATATATATATATATATATATATATATATATATATATATATATATATATATATATATATATATATATATATATATCTGTGTGTGTTTGAAACCCTAAGTTTATTTTAGATTCATCAGGAATAGCAGATTTAGAAGGTGAAACAGGTTTAGAGAAAATTAGAAATACGTTAAAAGCGCAGCAGGTATGTCAATTTGATATCTCTTTTTCAAAAAAAAGACAGTTTTATAGATTTTAACTGCTGATAAAGTTTAGTTTATTAAGTTATATGCGTCTAAAATTTTTAATTTTTAATAAATTTATAAAAGTTTATTTAATATTTTTTAGGTATCACTAGAATCTGATGCTCTTAAATTGGCCCGGGACTATTTTACTGAAGAAGAAATGGTGAGAAATAATAAAGTAAAAAGTAACAGATAAAAAAAGGCAAAAAAAACCACCAATAATAAAACCCATACAATAACTCAAATCCTATATATATATATATATATTTTTTTTATGTGTTTAGATAAAGTTCAAAAAGCCTAAAACAAAAGTACGCAAAGTTGTTCGCAAAAGGCAAATACTGAAGGTATTGTAGTAGTTTGTTCTTTTACTCGCTTCGCTAAAATAAATTTTACTATTTATATATTTATAATATATTTAGGCTGATGATCTACTTAAACTGGATTTGGATTCAGTAAAAGACAGAGGTTCAAGGTACTTTATAGTAATAATAATTTTAAATATTTTTCCCATTAAGTAATTTTTATTTTTCAACTTTTTATTTATCTTTTTAAATTAAATTTTTTTAAATGTTTATAATCCTAATATTTTTAAATAAAAAAATGAAAATTCTTATATGCTAGGAAATTAAAAAACTCATTAAAGAATTCTTTAAACTCAAACACTGAGCAGGTAAAAAAACTTATTTTTAAAGTTTCTTTTTATTTCCAAGTTGTTGAGTTTTTTTTTTGCTTTCATTATTAGTGTAAATTTTTTTATATTGCTATGATTTCAATGTATAAATAAGTATGACAAGTAACAAAGAGCTTTTATTATCTTGAAGTGATCCTAAAGGAGTTTCATAGTTGTTTTTGTTTCATAAAAAACAGTAGAAAATAAGTTTACAAAACAAGCTAACTTAATGGAAGCATGATGAATTTTAATAAAAACAGAGGAGGTTGAAGAAATTTCCATCTGCAAAATAAAAATTAATTACGTTTACAGGCTTGGTCGGGAAGCGGGTGCGATCGCATTCGATAATTGACCACGGAAATAATATTTAGTTGCGAAAAGCCAGATTTTTTAGTCGTTTTGAGAACATTTCAAAAACAAACAAAAAAGCGCATTAAGATTAATTGGACCGATGATAGACAGTTAAAAAAAGTAAAATAGCTTTTAAAGAGAAAAAACTTTAGGCAAAATAAATATGATTAGAGCAAATATTTTTAAAATGTCGCTCTTTTATGATTTTTTTTATAAAATTAGGCAGCATTTATTATATAAAGTAACAACTTACTAATAATGATTGTTTAATAAGGAAACAAATGTTTTTTGATTTATCAAAGAGTATAAATAATTTTTATTTATATACTTATGTCTTATTTCCAGTGCTAATTTGAGGAGGTGGGGGGGGGGGGGAGGGGTAGTAGAAGGGCTATAGCCTCGGGACTCACAATGTTAGGGGGCGCAAAATAGTTAAAAGAACCATTCCGAATTTTTTTAGTCATGTTTACGCTGTGGCACATAAAAAAGGCAACCTAAATAATGCAGCACCCGGCCCTGAAAAGTCCAACATGATTCAACCAATAAAACTTATGCTAGATGATTTATTTGTAAATAAAAATGTTTTTTCAATAACTGTTTTATGCTTTGCGTAGTTTGAAAAGTTTAACACATTTGAAACAATTCTTCTTAGTAAGATAAACAAATGAATTATTTAAATCATTGAGTTACTGTGGAAATTCAATTAGCTAGATAGAAATTAACTAAAAATCGTTAAATTACTTTGTGAGAAGGAAGAGGAACTGCTTCACAATACCGCTGATGATGTTTAGTGAGTGGGCTGTATAATTTTAATTAGTATCTAAAACAGAAAAACTAACTTTAAGTTTAAGTATAACGAGTTTGTAAGAATGGCTGAAGCAAAAATAATTGAAGTTTGTAAACCAATTTCTAAGAACTTAAAAACTTTTCTTTCTTGTGGAAAAGAACCAGTTATTGGGTACACTTAAAGAAAATGGATTAGCGGTTAAAGTTTTTTTGTATTAACTTTGATAATTATTAATAATTTCATTGAAAACGCAGTTATTATTGAAAGTATTTTTGTTTACAAAATCAATCGCACAAATTGCTTTAAAAGATTACATTTGAATAAAAAATGCATACATAAAATTACATTACATACATAAAAATACATTACATACATAAAATTACATTACTTACATAAAAATACATTACATACATAAAAAATACATCCTATATATAAAAAATAAGAATATACTAATAAAATCTATTATATATTTACAAAACTTTGACAAGTTAAAAAATATAAACTTAAAACATATATTTTTGTAAATAAATAATGTTAGTTTAAAACATTTTTAGCTTTGTAGATGCTCTGAGAATGAGCCGTAGTATTAAAAAAATAGTTTGTTTGATATTATATTCTTAAAACAATTTTAGTTAATATTTTTTGAACCAATAGAATTAGTTGTTCGTAGATTTGGCGGGATTTTTGTTCGCAAATATTCTTTTTTTATTTTTCCGCACAGAGCATCGAGTTTTTGTATGTTTCCATGTATGTCCGTAAAACAAAATATTTTAAAATTTACGAAAAAGTATTGATTATTTTGCGGACAAACAAGGAAACATACCTAAACTTAAATGTTTCAAAACGACTAAAAAATCTGGCAGTTTTTTTGCAAATATTATTCTGTGGTCAGTTATCGAGTGTGATCCAACTTCCCGACCAAGCCTGCGTTTATTGTTTACATTGAAGTTACATATACTTAAGTACAGTTAATACAATATAATAAATATTACATACAGTCAAGCCATAGACAAATAGCCATAAAAAAAATAAAATTTTTCTAAAATATTTCCTCCATTTTGTTAAACAACTTGTCACATTTATGATCTTCTAGATCTGTAGTCCAATAGATCTGCAGTAACCAGCTTTGATTTTAGTCTATAACAGTTTTCAGAAAATATTTTAAAAGCTGCTGACTCCTTGTCAAGAGCATAATAAAATGCTTGATGAGGTTTAACTTGGTTTGCTGTGGGAGTAGTATTTTATGAGATTCTATCAGTTGCTCCCACTTGATGCTGCTTCTTTCCACAGAGAATTCGGTCCATTGTGGCCTGTTATTTTTTGTGTCATGACTGTCTAGAGATAAAGTCTAACTGTCTAGAGATTATGGACACAAAAATTTATTGTAAAATTGCTTTTAAAATCAATCTGTATTTATCAAATTCAGCAATTTTTTACTCTGGTGTTGTTCTTTTTGAGATACACAGATTGAATAAGAGAAAGAAATGTAGTATTTCTGTTACATACATAGGTAGTTATTTCTGTTACACTTCATTTTACTTTGGTTACCTTGAGCATTAAACAGTAGAGCCACATTTTTGCAAAAGCAACAAGTCTGTCTTGATTACTAAAGAAGTTGAAATGGAAATTTTTCTGATCTGTGACTTGCATACTGTTATCCAACAAGTTTCAGATTGCTGACTTTTTTTGGGTCAGAGAATCATAGTCTTCTTTCTTCTTCTTTTTTTTTTTTTTTTAATTTTAGTTATTAAGTGCTCCAAAAACTCCTTACAATCTTATCAGAGAGCACCACAAAATGGCATTTAACTAGGAAGTTTAGTCCTTCCAATATTCCATACCAATGATGCATATATGACAAAGCCAGCTTTGAACCACAAACCTCCAATTCTAAAGCCTGATCTCAAACTATTACACCACGGCTTCTATTTTCATTAGTAAAATTTTAATATAAATTTATAATATATTTTTTACTTTGTGGTTTGCTGTTATCTACTGAAAATGGCTGGTATCTCTTTTTTTTAAAAGACAGGGGGGGGGGATGTGGATTAGATTGTTAAGAGTATCTAGATAATTGATAGGAGGCATATATTTGTCAGTGGAACATTTAGCAGGATCCATTATGCAGAAGTAGCAGTTGCTTGTGTGGTCAGTCTGTTGCCACCAAGTTCACTGAACAGCAAACTTCTTGTCTCCTTTTTTTCTTTAATACTAACCTGTAGCATAACTGATAAAAACAAATATATTAATTAAAAACAAAAAAAAAATTACTAATTACGTGTTTCATTATTTACTCGTTTCATTATTACTCAGCAATAACATAAACTGTTGAATTATTTTTACTTTAACACTTGCTATATATGTATATATATATATATATATATATATATATATATATATATATATATATATATATATATATATATATATATATATACATATATATATATATATATATATATATATATATATATATATATATATATATATATATATATATATATATATATATATATACATATATATATATATATATATATATTTAACAGTTGTGAAAATTTATTAAAAGTTTTACATACTTCTTAACAGTTCAAGAATGTTTTAGAAAACTACTCAGTATTGAATGCAAATTCAGAATATTTTTAAAAAAAGAAAAGTTTCAAAATTATATTTTAATAATCACAGACAAAGTTGTTGTAAAACAACAGCTTATTTTCACATGTTTTAGTTATAGAAGATTAGAAAAATACACTTTGGACCAGGAGCAAAATAAAGATTGTTATGTGTAATTAATGTGGTACATCTCTATTATTTTAATTTTTTTATATAAAAACTTGTGTTATAATTATTATATCTAGCTTGTGGAGTGCTTGGCAAGAAAATATTTAACTTTTTTAGTGTGTAACTCTTTATGTTTCTTTGAATCATTTTTAATTATATTATTTTAAGTGAATTTGGTAAATTTTTATATACCCTATATTTATATTATGTGTTTGCTAATAAACCTGGAAAGACAAGATATACACGATCATCATCAGACAGTAACTTAGTAAAGAAAATAATAAATTTTTGAGTTTTTTTTTTTTTGAGGTCATTTTTTAAAGTCATTTTTATTTAGTAACTTTTTTTTTTCCATTAGTGCAAACATTATAAATAGTGAAAAAATGCCAAACTCAAAACATGTTTTAGTGATAAACTTTTCACATATATATATACGAGAAAATATTTTTTTTAATTTTACATATATGAAAAAATATTTTTTCTTTGATGAAAATAATTTTATCACTAGATTGATTAAACTAATTTATTCTGCTCTTTGATGTTTTAATTGCAAAGGAAAGTTCTAACAATTTGTTTCATAAATTAATGAACTCCTTATTTGGTTATATTATAATGCAAAAAATTAATGATGGTTACAAAATTAATTAACACTCGATGTTTCATTAACTTTCTATATCTTTTAGACTCGTAAGAATAATTTTATGTAAGAATAATTTTGGTAAGTAAATAGTAATCAATCATTAATTAATTTTGGTTTTAAAGCATACAATTAAAGATTACATATAAAATTAAGTAATTGTTTTATAAGAAAGAGATATCTGGTGATATTGGTGATATTTGGAATGATATCAGGTGATATTTGGAATGATATCAGATAATACCTGGAATGATATCAGGTGATATCTGGAAAGATATCAGGTGAAATCTGGAATCAGTTATGCAAAAAAATGTTGTCATACAAATTTGTTAAAAATCAATTTTTTTTTAAACTGGTTGATATTGAGTACATTTTTTAATATTATAAATTATGCCATATATGCCGTTAAGAAATTAAAAAGAAAAAAACAACATAAATACATTGCAATATTAGACAAAAGATTTATTCATAAACACAAAAGACAAACATAAAATAAGAATACCAAGCATTTTTATATAAAACAAACAAAATCATTTCATTGAAAGGATAACATCGACAATTTTGTTGTCTGACAAGAATTAGTCTTATGACATGAAATAAATCAAAAGTTTTTCTTTTTATATTAATGATTTTTGTTTTAAACTTTTTTTCTTAATTATTTGAAACTTGTTTTCTAATGTTTTTATGAAAGAACTCATTTTGTTTAATTACTTCAAGATTCTAGAAGCAAACTAATAGAACTGCACTGTTAGATCTGCACTGCAGACCTGCACTGTTTCATCAAATCAAAAAAAATACGAAATATACTGTACAGAATAGTTTTACTGCATTCTGTTTACTGCATTTCAACAACCTGCATTACAGCGTTTATTCAGTATTTCTATTTATTTTTTATTAGCTTTAATTATACATTTTAAATGTAACTAAAATATCAAACTGTTGTTTTTAGGACATGGAAATAACCCCAATAATTCCAGATGAACTAGGTAAATTTTTGCTTTAAACTATGTAAATTTTATATTTTTACAAGTACATGTCAGTAGAATTACAGTTAACTACAGTAAAAGTTTTTTTTTTTCTGAAAAAGGTGTCTGGATTTAAGTACTTTTTTAAATATTTTTTAAGTATTTGATTAAAAATTTTATGAATCACTCATTATCTTCTGAAAATATTTTGTCAAGTATGTCAACCTGGTACTCAAAAGAAGCAAAACTTTATAAAAGTTTTAAAAATAGCATATTTTAAAAATAAAATAAAATTTTTAAAAATAGCATTTTATAAAATAGCAAATCATGTTTTATAAAATTTTCTTTTAAAAAAAATTTATTCAAAAAAACTTTAAAAAACTTACGTTGCCAAAAAATGTTGTCAAAAAACAATCGTTTTTTATGCAATAAAATCAAATTAGTAATATTTAAAAATAATAACTATTTTTTAAATTTTGATAAAATTTCACTTTTTTTGAGTATCCAATTAACATACTTTTGAAAAATTTTTCATAAGGGACCCATTAAATATTCAAGGGCAATTTCAAAGTTTGGACTCCTAAAAAGTTTTTTATTCAAAAATAAATTTTATATATATATATACTCAGGCGCTATTAGACACACTTTTTCTACTTTTTAATAAATTTTTTTACGACCTAAAACAGCAATTTCATATATTTCAAATGCGTCTAATTGCGCTTCTACTTCCTTCTAATTGCGCTTATGTATATATATATATATATATATATATATATATATATATATATATATATATATATATATATATATATATATATATATATATATATATATATATATATATATTTCATTTTATATATTGCTCTTAAAATAAATTAAAAATGAGTTTTGCATGGTAAATATTAATAAATGAAATATTTATTAAAACAGGCGGGGATTCAAAGAAGATATGGATGATGCAATGTCACCTCAATCTTTTCATAGAACTTAATATAATATTGACAAAAAGAGTTATAAAAATTAAAAATATAAAACTAATAAAATATATTTAAAGGTTTAGAAGTAAATACAAACATATGCACAAAGATTTAATAATTAATACATTACAAGACATATATATCATTAGTAACTACTAAGAATAATAAGTATTCATTTGAATAAGTTTAAAATATTTATAAGTGTAATAAATTTATATTATTCCTCAAAATAAAAACTGTTTTTTTGCTTAAAATTAAATGAGTTGAATGATTTTACCATATTCAGATTATTTTTCTGAAAAGAACTCCATAACTTAGGTTCTTGGTATGCTATTGAATATTCTGTATATTCATTTAATTTCCTTGGCAGTTTGAAGGAATTTGATCGATTTGTTCTTAAGAAATACTTTACATTTATATTTTTCTCAAAGTTACGAATAAAATTATCTGGAGTATATATATATATATATATATATATATATATATATATTCATATATATATATATATATATATATATATATATATTCATATATATATATATATATATATATATATATATATATATATATATATATATATATATATATATATATATATATATATATATATATATATATATAAATATATATATATATATATATATATATATATATATATACTAAGTGGTATATATATAAGTGTTAGTGGTGTAGCGGTAGAGCGCTCGCTTCATATGCGAGAGGTTCCATTTCGATCCCTACCACATCCCTGGAAGTACTTAACTTGTTTCTCCGCGCAGCTGCCTTGTTTGTCAAGGTTCATGTTTTGGAGTTATAGAGTTGAGAGAGGGTTATAACCACAATTAAGTAGCCTCCTTCTCTGTAGTCGCCTTCTTGGCCTTGGGAAAATGAATTAACATAAATTTTAAATAGTATGATGAAATCAAATATGAAAAGACATATTTCAAAAAAAAAAAAAATCAGTTAATATTAGTTCTCTCAATAATATTGTTTTTAAAAATTTTTGCTGGCTTATGATAATATGATTATTAAAAATTATGACTGTTCAATTAAATTACAAAATTTAAAGTTTGGCATTAGAATGACTTCTTGTATGCAAGAATGCAAAAAATGAAGTCCAAAATTTTTGCTTTACTCGCATATGCTTTGGAGCAATTACAACTAATTAAATAAATTCCAGGTTTGCTACTGTCTGAAAGCTTTTCTTTATTAGAAGATACTTATATATTATGCTGTTTAAATTTTGCCACATTTTTTTAGACTATTTTGTTGCTGTAAATCAAGTTGTCAAAGAAGATGAACCTATCATTGATGATGATGAAACAGAACAAGAGTTACAGTTAGCTCTAGAAAGATCAAGGCGATCTAAAGTTAAAAAAGAAAAAGATCCAGAGAATGGAATATTAGAAAGAGTAATTTTTTTTTTTTTTTAATTATTCCTATTTATACTTATATATTAAAGAAAATGCCATGATTGGAGCTTGAAAGCAAAAAAGTCCTAAAATTTAAGCCACAATGACCCCAGTGTGCGAGCTTGTTGATAAAATATTTTTATAAAAAAGTTGATAAAATATTTTTTTACTATTCTTAACTAAAGTTATATTCATTAATAAATTTTAAATTTCATACAATAATCTCTTGACATTCAAAAATTATAATCTTAAAAAATTTATAACCTCAAATTGAAGGAGTTCAAACTTATATAATTGTAAAATGCTTTTTACAGAATGAAATATTACTCAAAATCAAAAAATATAACATTAACTTCAAACTTCATCCCAGTGTTTACATAAATCTCTGATCTCAATCTGAAATAGCCTGCTACTGGGGGCATCAGTATATACATCAACTATCTTATAGTCTGTTGCAACAAAGAAGTGTCGCTAGATCAATTGAGGGAAGAGGAATATATATATATATATATATATATATATATATATATATATATATATATATATATATATATATATATATATATTAGGGTGGATCGATTTTCATAGCAAAAAAAAAAAAGTTTAAAAATCAATATTCCTGAGACACGAATCGATGTCTATTATCTATAAGATGAAAGTAAAAAAGTATTTTTTGATTTTGATGAGATCTTGAGGTTCCTCTTGGATTCTAAATCCTTGACGGATCCTAATATTTTTGATTTTTTTTTTCTAAACTATATCAACCTTGGACTCAATAAAAGCAAAAAAAATGCTTGTTTTATCTATAATAATTTTATTAAAAAAAAATTTTTAGTGAAAAAAATATTTGCAAAAATATACCTTAAAACCCCCGTTTTGATGAAGACGGGGGTTTTAAGAATGTTGTTTTTTAACGAAAAACACAACATTTTTTTCTCTCTAGTTTTGAAATAAAACAAATTTTATATTCAAAATAAGCGTATTATTCTGCTTCTTTTGAGTACCAGGTTGATAAAGTTTAGAAGAAAAAAAATTTCAAAAATTATAGGCTCCATCACAAATTTAGAATCCAAAGAGGAACCTCTAAAACTCAGTTGAATTAAAAAAAAAAAAAGTAAGGTTCTTTTTTCCCCAAAAGACATCGATTCGCAGCTCAGGCAAATCAAATTTCAAAAATTTTTAAAATCGATCTACCCTAATATATATATATATATACACTTACTAAAGCGTATTTTTATAAGTATTTGCTCACTTTTTTTGCTTACCTTAACCCATACAGCTTTTTTAGAAAAAGAAGAAAAAAATGGAGAATGATGAATAAAACGATTGCTGCTCCATCTCAAACCCTCAATCAATGTAGCAGCACTCCACTGCGAGTCAGGCTATTCGTCAGTTGATGTATGTACTGAAGCCCACAGCAGCAGGCTATTTCAGTATGTCATTACGTCAGATTGCTTACCTTAGTACGCAATACTATTTGTATATATATATATATATATATATATATATATATATATATATATATATATATATATATATATATATATATATATATATATATATATATATATATATATATATATATATATATATATATATAATGAAGTTTTATGATATTGCACATATAAGCTCTTAAATCACGAAAAACAAGCTTTCCTTATGTAAAAAATGTTTCTAAAAGTTGAAAGTTTTAAAAGGAAGGAAGAATTTAACATTCTGGGACCTATAAAGGCATTAAGGCACTTTCCAAAAAAATCTGTTACCTTTCAGAACATTCTAGAACCTACCAGAATATTTTTGAAGGCAAGAATGTTATGGAAGTTGATGGAAGGTTTTGGAAAGATTCTGAAAATTCTTTAACATAGAAGAATGTTTTTAAAAATTCTTCTAGGTTAAAGAATTTTCCGAATCTTTCCAAAAAAGAATTGAATATATATATATATATATATAGTAAGTGACCAGGACCCCCGCCCCAGCCCCTGCCCTGGCTAAAAATGAGACTTTTTGCAAACCCGGGGAAGTTGGGTAAGAGTTATAATTTTTTTTTATGTTCAAGGAAAAAAACTGGATTAATTATCATGCTGTAAAAAGGTTTTATAGTGTGGAGGGACAGATACAGTAAAAAGATGTAAATGGTTGAATAAATAGCAAAACAAGAATGAGTTTTGGTTCATTGTTATAGAGATGATAGCTCATTTGAGCATTGTATTAGTAGAAAAAAGAAAGAAATGCAACCTTGTAACAATGGGAGAGTGGCTCAAGCTTGGCAGATAAAGCAGGTCTAATTACATTTACAATGTGCTTTTAGACTTTGTCTGAGAGTAAGAGGGTTGTTATTTGTCAATATAGGAATGCAATATTTATTATTTGTCAATATTGCAATATTTATTTGCAGTAAATAAATGAGTTTTATTGTCTAACAAAAATAGTGAATTTTAAGTCCAGAATTTAAATCCATAAGCCACTGCAAGCCTTAGGCTGTTTTAATTTTATTATTCAAAATTTGCTGCTTGTTCTAAGCAATTAAAAAGTGAAGATTTTTTGTCAAGACAAGAGTATAAAGTTGAGTCATCAACAAATTTAGATTTCATTTAGATTTGAGCCACTTTAGATTTCTTTAAGATTGTATTGTAGATAAGAAATAATACAGGAGCAAATACTTGAAATTAAGAAGAGGGTAGGCCTTCATGAATAACTTTACTATTGCAGTTAGAAAGAAATAATTTAATAACCTTAAAACAATTACATAGAAACTTATGAGAAACTAATAACAGAGTGAAAAATCGTAGGATACTTAGAGAGTTCAAAGTGTTTTCCAGAGTTTTGAAAATTAGCACCACTTATTAAGAACTTTTTAAAAGTTCAGCAAAAATTTAAAAAAAAAGAGAGTTCTGGAGAACATTTTTTTAAAACTATGATGGAAATCTTGTCTGAAGCACTAACTGTAGAAATGTTTAATTAAGAATTTATTTTAGTATTGAAAGCCAGAGTAATTTTGATGTTTAACAATGGGTTTAATAATCTGTTTAATTGAATGAAGACTATGGTCAGTATATTCTAGAGTCAAACTAGAGTAAGATTTCTTTGCAAATAGCTCTGCTTTATTCTGGGGAAAAGTAAAAAGACCAGACCTTTGAATTAGAGATTAAATGTTGGACTTACTTTAGTTAATGACTAGAAATGTTAAAAACTAACCAAAAGTCTCTAAAACCTAACATCTGAGATAAGATTCAAGGTTTAGTAAACTGAGAATAACATAGATTTACATCAGACAGGACTTTACATTATATACATATGCATTACATATGCATTACATATTATTATATACATTAGCTTATTGCAAAATAAAAAGGACATTTGTTCTTAAAGGAGATGTTCTTATAAAATAGATAAAAAATATAATCGTTGAAAAATGCGTGTTGGAACTGAAGAGAAGTAATAAGAGCTTCCAAACTTATTCCAGAAGCAATAAAAGCTTCCAAGATGAATTTTTTGCATACATATTATGGATATAAACATATCTGTTTGCTATTTATTTAGATTCTAGCATACAATACCCTTTCATTGTTATATAAACTTTAGTATTTATATGATGTAGTATTTGCTGAAAGAGTAGATGATAAGGTGGATGTTTAATGTGACTCTAGCAAGACAAGAAAAGGAGGCATAATCTTAGACAGATTAAAACGTTGTATCAAACAACGTTTGTTAGAAAATACTAAAGTAATTTAGGTATCAACATGTAGACTTGTAGCAGCTTTAGTAGAAAATATTTTTGGTAGAAGTAAGAAAATTTGAAGAGAGTGCCTTACATATTGTTTGAATAGGTTTTAGTTAGGAAAAAAAACGCTCTTGATTGTTTATATTAGAGAAACAGCTTAAAAGAGGAAGGCTAAAGCCTGATGATTATTATGATGGTGATGATAATGATGATGATGATCATCATCATCATTGTCAAGCTTACCTCTTTTATGGTGTTGATGATGATGATGATAATGATCATGATGATGATAATGATCATGTTGATCATAATGATGTTTATATATGCATATATATACCAAATATAACATGAATTTTAAATTAAAAAAATATACTTTAGGATGTATAAATGTTTATGCAGCCCCAGTCAGAAATCTGGCCCCTGTCAAATATCAACCCTGGTCGTTTAATATATATATATATATATATATATATATATATATATATATATATATATATATATATATATATATATATATATATATATATTATATATATATATATATATATATATATATATATATATATATATATATATATAAACTTTACTTATGTGTATAAAGTTTTTAAATGATTTTATCATTCAAAACTTTAATGATAAAATCATTCAACAAAATTTTTAATTTAACAACAAGCAGAAATAAAATAAAATTGTTAATAATTCAAATTAAAATGTTAGATGGCGACTATTATTCGGAAACAGCCTCAACCTGAAAACGAACAATCTTCTGCTAGCAGATCTAGGAAGAAAAACAAAGGTAATTTTTTTTAATTTTTTAAATATCTGTCAATATTGTTTTTGTAAATACAAATACAATAAAATGGTAAAAACTCTTCAAAATTATAATATAAAAGTACCATTTAATTCTATACAAGGTTTTTTAAACAGTATAGAACAGATATTTTATCAAGGCCTGAATCTGTTTATGTTTGTTATAACTTGAATGTTATACAAAAAAAAAAAAAAAAAAAAAAAGTTATGCAAAATTATCAAACAGTTTTTGAATCATGATTTCGGAAGGTTTTTGTTTAGCTTATTTCATTATTTTCATTAAGCATCAAGCTCATGTTTATTTAGTTCTACTAATTTGTTAAAAAAAATTTTGTTTATGCAGTTCATTTACATTAATGCGGTTCATTTACATTCAATTTATAATCTACATTTTTATCTTAAGAATTTTTTTCTTAAAAATAAAGTTAAAACTTAGTTAAATTCAACTTTATTTTTATGCTTTTAATTTTGTTATGAAAAAAATCTTGTTAATTTTTTTGTGAAAAAGTTTGAAACTATTTATAATGTAATCTCGATGTATTTGTGTTAATGATTCTAATGATTCTCAATGTAATTAATCTCAATGTATTTGTGTTAATGATTCTTGTTTTATTTAAAAGCTTTGGCAAAAAACTTGCCCAATAGTCACACAGGAGCAGTGAACACCTGAGGGAAAAATTAAGTACATTAGAATAGAGGAGAATTATTTTTTGAACAAAGTATTTTTTTGTCAAGACATTTAAAAATATTTAAAAATGTACTCATATAAAGACAAAATAAGACAGGCAATGAAAGACAGACAATACTTATAATAATAAAGAAAAAAAATTAATGTTTTTATAAAAACTTAGGATAAACAAAAATATACAACAAATATATCACCAAACAAAAACATACAAAAAAAAATATTGACTACAAAATAAAAAGTATGCATGCAACAATGTAATGCCTAAGAATGAAAAAAACCATTAATGCTAATGTGTAAATATAATTTGTGTAGTGATTAAGTAATAAACATCTCCTCAGAGTCGCGTCTATTATTACTGGCATTTCAATGAGGATCAGCATTGATAATTAGTTTATCCTGTCAGACAAACGTCAATTGCCACTTATCCTGTCATGACCAACGTCATTGCCACTTATGCTTTGCCTTGCGACTTTTGCCTATTAAATACTGCAGTACAAAAAAACTCACTGCAAATAGCCAAAAACCAACCATCCCCAAATTTGTAAAGTACCAATATTTTTTTAATGATATGATATTAAAAGTGTAGTTCTACTGTACAATATAAGTAAAAATAACTAAATAAATCACTTACCATACCACCAAAAGAAAACATGAAAACATAATAAATTAAAATTCTAATAGAAACACAAAAATAAAACAACTCAAGTAAATATGTTAACAAAAAAATAATAGTAAATTTCTTTTTAAGACATTAAAAACCAAATGGGTACTTTTAGCCAAGACAATCAGAATGCTATATACTTTATTAAAAAAAAAAAAAAAAAATCAACAAAATACAATAGAGTCTTCAATAAATTCTAACACTGTCATAGGTACCTCATTTGAATTATGTTAACCAATCAAAATGAGCAACCTGTGAGGCCTGTGTTGTACTATTGTAGAAAAAAATCTTGCTTGTTGTTTTTTGTTCATTTTTATGCTTTTAATTTTGTTGTAGAAAAAAATCTTGCTTGTTGTTTTTGTGAATATGTTGACACTACTTATAAAAATATTTTTATCGTGATACTCTAATCACAGTAATAGGGTATTTTTTCTATCGCAAGCATGCCAACAAGTTGGATACAGTTGATTTTTTTTTTTTAATTAAAACTGAAATGAGCATATTACATATACTCATTCCATTTTTTAATCTCAATTTGTGTTAATGATTCTTTTTTTATAGATTTAAAGTTATGAAAAAGTTTTTAATTCATGAAAATTTTTGAATTGTTGAATTGATAATTTTTTGTGTATATATATATGTATATATATATATATATATATATATATATATATATATATATATATATATATATATATATATATATATATACATATATATATATATATATATATATATATATATATATATATATATATATATATATATATATATATATATATATATATATATATATATATATATATATATATATATATATGTTAATTTCATGTTGAATTGATAATTTTTTTCTGACAGACAGGCTTCTGGAAGATTGAAATATATCTAACCAAACTTTAAAATATACTTTATTAATATAATTATGCAGTAGGCACAATTTATAAATTATACATGAAAAAGAGATTAAAATATATACTAAATACATATTTTATATAATTATTGTATATATTTCAATATTTATGAAAATAGTTTTTAAAGTTTTAAAATATATTAATCTTTATCAATGTAATTATAAATACAGTTAATATATTATCATGTCACTAGTATCACTGTATGATACAAATATAATATATAATACGTTTATAATAAGTACATAAATTATAAATTATAAATTTATAAATAAATAATAAATATTTAAATAAAATAAAAAATTATTATATTTTTCATTATAAAAATAAACCTTCATAATAAAAAATATAATTACTAGTATCAATGTTTTAATTATTCTTGTTATTGTAGTTATACATGTAGTAATTCAAAACCTTTTTTTTAAAAAGCCTTTTTAGTGCTTTTAAAGAGTGTATAGACTCTGTTAATGTAGTGGCAGGGCGATTGCTCTGTAAGTGAGAAGACAGAGTTTGATTTCCACCACATCCCTGCTAAATAAAAACTTGAAACGAAAACTATTACACTGTTTTGACATTTAATGATCTCAAACATTTGAGATTATTAAATAATTTAAGCAAAAGTTAATAACTATTTTGCATGGATGTGCAGGTTGTCGCAGAAAAAAATAAATTTGAATATGTTAAAAACCATTTGTATTATATCACTGAAAATTTGATCACAGAAAAATAAAACATTAACCGACATCTCCAGCAATCACAAGTGAGGAATATTCTCTTGAAGAAAGGCCATGGTTTTTTTTCAAAAGCAGACAATCATTGATTCTTGATCAGCTGTTATTTCCAGCGCTGGAAATAACAGCTGATCAACATTATATATATATATATATATATATATATATATATATATATATATATATATATATATATATATATATATATATATATATATATATATATATATATATATATATATATATATATATATATATATATATATATATATATATATATATATATATATATATATATATATATATATATATATATATATATATATATATATATATATATATATATATATATATATATAAAAGAAACTATTGATAAATAAATTTAAAGTAGTTAAATTTTGGTTTTTTAATGTAGATAAAATTTTAAGTGTTTTTTTTTAAATTCAGGCACCATTATACTTGACTCTACCTCGGAATTTTGCAGAACATTGGGTGAAATACCAACCATTGGTAAGATTTTGAATAAAATTTTCTTTCCTTTTTATAATGAATCAAGAATAAATATATAATTGTTTTTAATAAAAGGTCCCCAAACTTCTCATAATGAAGTAGATGAAAATGAAGATATGGAGTTAGAAACCACGCAGGTGGAAACTAAAGGTGGCTGGGAACGTGTTCAGAGTGCTGAAAATGAAACAAAGATTGACAAAAAAAATGATGATGTAGTTATCATTTATTAATAATTAGTTTTTATTATTTGTATTATATATTTTTTTATCTTTTTTTGTTATAGTTTTTTTTTTTTTTTAATTATTCTACAAGCCATTAATTTTATTGTTGTCATCATTAATTTCATTGTTGTTATCATTAATTTTACTGTTGTTGTCATTAATTTTATTGTTGTTGGTTTTGAAAGTCATAAAATTATTGTTTTTTTCTTTGTCTTAAAAAGCTAGGATCTCCAAAAAAGTTGAAATAATTTTTGACAACTTTTGTAAAAAAAAAATCAGGGTTAAAAATTCTTGAGCCTCAGTGTCTTCATTTTTTATTTTACACATGGATAAAATTGATTTGTTTTTTACCATATAATTGTCCTAAATTTTTCCTCAATGTAGTCAATAAGTCTATTTTTTGAGCTTTTGGACAGTATCTTAAGTTATAGCTATTTTGTGATCTTCACATCTCTGATTTTAAGAAATCATTCATGACATTTTCTAATTGTTTGCATTGGAGGCAATTTCCTGAGCATTTTTTAGTACTATAATAATGTTTACTTTGCATATTTTGAATATGTTGTAAAAGTTAAATTCTTTTGTTTAATTAACATGTTTAATTAAAGAATTTGTTCTTATCATTGCTTGAGCTCTTTCCCCACATTAACACATTATTTTTATGTTATTGTAAATATTTAAAGTTTAAAATATTAAATAATAAAAAAAGTATTTTAAAGTAAAAGTTAAATTTATTTTAGATAGATGACAATGTTTTGGAACCAGAGCCTTTACCATCAGGAATGGCGTCAACACTTCGACTTGCAAACATGAAAGGTTTTGTATTTTAATTAGCATTTGTTCTGTAATTTTTTGTTTTGTCTTTTTATTATTTGTTATGTATTAATATCATTTTTGTTTAAAATTAATATTTATTGTGAAACACCATGATAAGTAAAATAAGAAATATTTAATCAGGTTATTTGAAAAGTGGAAATGAAAAAGTTCGTAAATTTGATCCGTTGAACTTACCTGAAACCAAAGCAGAAGTTGATATTGAAAAATTAAGGTAAAAAGTATTTCAATTCAGTTATTTTTGTTCATATATATATATACATATATACATACATACATACATACATACATACATACAAACATACATACAAACATACATACATACATACATACATACATACATACATACATACATACATACATACATACATACATACACACATATATACATATATACATACATACATACATACATACATACATATAATACGCACACACATGCACACACACACACATACAAACTGACTCACACACACATGTGTGTGTATGTATGTATGTATGTAAATATATATATATATATATATATATATATATATATATATATATATATATATATATATATATTTACATACATACATACATACACACATGTGTGTGAGCATGTGAGTATGTATGGCAGTTATTGTTATATATATATATATATATATATATATATATATATATATATATATATATATATATATATATATATATATATATATATATATATATATATAATATATATATATATATATATATGTTTTTGACATGACTCTTATTTCCTCTCATAAATATTCAATAGGAGAGAGATCTTGTGATTGGAGAGGCTAAATCATTTTGTTAAATATTTGATCGTTCTCGAACTCAGTAAAATAACTTGAACAAGTTTTTGAAAAATATGTTTGAGGTTTAAGCTTTAAGTCATATTCTTTCGAAAAAATGGATAGCTTCACATTAACCCATTTTTCCAAAGGTGTAGTAAAATTTTTTAAGTGTAAAATTAACAACCTTTGTCAATATTCCCTCTATTTTCATAAGTCACATGTAGCATTTTAATCAAAACAGCCCTACACCTTAACACTACATCTACAATGTTTACAGTCATATACTCATATATATATATATATATATATATATATATATACATATATATATATATATATATATATATATATATATATATATATATATATATATATATATATATATATATATATATATATATTATATATATATATATATATATATATATATATATATAATAGTATTGTATTTTTTAATACTACCAGGTAAAGCTAACTCTTTAAAGTTACGATAGTTTACTTTCTGTTTTTTTATTTTTAGAGATGAAGAAAAAGCTAAATACAGTCGGTAAGTTTAAAACACTCTGAATGTTTATGAAAAGCAAAAAGTTCTTTTTTTTTAAGTACTTATGTAATGCTTAAGCAATACCAGAAAATTGATATATACTATTTAGGTACTGTTTATATTTGGGTCATCTTTTTAAGTTTAAATAAAGGCAGTTTGGAGTCTTGACCATCCTATTAAAAATTACCTTGATCTTGATCCCTTTAATGAGTATCAAAGTACCTCAGTTTTCGAAAAATTTTGTTTATATATTGTTTAGAAATAATATTTTTAGTTATAAATTTTTTAAATATTTTTTTTTAGTGGAGGAGCCTATGATAGAGATAGGTAAGAAATTTTTAATTTTTTTTTTTTTTTTGTACTTAAATTGTTAACAATCTATTTAAAAATATTTATTGATGGTTTAAGAAAAAGAATAATTATGTTTCTTAGACAATTATTGCTTTTATAATCCCTTAACCTTTTTATAACCCCTTAAATTAAAAATGATTATTCAGAGCTTTTTTTCAAAATAAAAATAATCTTTATGATGAAGCATCGTGGCATAATTTTACATCATATGTTATATGTTATCATTACATATGTTACATCCTAGTGCATTTCTTGCCTTAGTTTTTAAAGTTTAATTGTCTGGCTTTTAAATAATCCTTGCTAATGACTTTTTTTGAACAGATGAGTTGATCTCTTTGTGAACAGATGAGTAGCACATAAATTATTACCTTATTTTGGTTGTCAAATTTAAATCTTGCAGGTTTAGGTTGTATTTTTTCCAAGAATGAAAATAGAAGAAGTCGACAAACCCTACCCACATTTGTATTTTTGTTGAATATTTTCATGTCTTTAATGACAAAACAATTTTTTCTTTTTGCAATTTCGATATATTTTTAAAATTTAATTTAATTTGGATTTCATTAAGTTGTGTAAATTCACTCTTAAAACCCTAATTTTTAGAAAAATTAGAAGAAAAAAATTAATAAAAAATAATATAAAATTTTTAATATTTGTATATGAACTAATATGAACTAAAATAAAATATGTGTAGTTAAATTTTTTTTTACAGAAGACTTTCTTGCTTGAAGAGTCTTTGATAAATAGCAAAATTTAAATTAATTTTAGAAACACATGTAAACAAATTTATAGTGTTTAAAAAAATAAATAAATCAGCAACTTGATTTATATCTGTGGATATGGTGTGTGGTGTTTATGTTTGCAAATATTTATGTATGTGTGTATGATACATAAGTGTATGGTATTTTAATGTAAACTTTTGTCTGTGTGCATATTCATGATTGTGGCGTGATATGCATTTAAATATGGTATTCATATGGGAATAGAACCAGAGCCTTGTTTGTATTTTTAAATGAGTTCAAAAAAATGAATTCAAAAAACTAAAACTTAAAAAACTTTTATCATCTTTTCTTCATCTTGAACAAAATTCAAGTAAAAAGTTCTGAAAAATATTTTATTCTTATATTGTTACTTCTTGACATTACAATCTCTTATTATAAAAAATTTTCTTATCTTTATTACAATTATCAGTACTTTTTTGTTTTATTCCTTTTTTATTACTTTTTAATATTTGTTCTATGTATATATGCTTAATATTACTTATATTATATTTAAAGTTTGATGTCACTTTTTTGGCCAGACATTTTGTATGAGTGACACCATCTTTATGATTTATTAACTTATTAATAGCTCATTTTAAAATAACTTTTAATTTGAAGTTGAAAAATTTGATTTTAGGTACGATCCTTATGCCTTTAAAGAGAAAACCAATTACAAACCAAATGTTAAACTGGAGTATGTTGATAACAAAGGCAGAGAACTATCTCAAAAAGAGGTTTTCTTTTAGTTTTTATATACATTCCTACTTAATAAAGTAAAAGTATTCCATTTATTTAAATTTATTAATTATTTTTTATCTGTTTCAAGGCGTTTCGTTTATTATCACACAAATTTCATGGTAAAGGATCTGGTAAACTTAAAACAGAAAAGCGAGCAAATAAAATAAAAGAAGAAAAGGTTTTTACTTTTTTTATTGATTGTATAAAAGTTATTTAAAAATGGCCGTTCTCAAGCAAGTTATCGCCAATTGCTCATTAACCAAAATTCATTATCTATCTCAATTTAACAAGTTATATTAAAAAGATGCAGTTTTGCTGAATGTCAAATCACTCATTCATCATTCAGCAAACTTGCAACTTTTTACTGCAACATTCAGTAAACTTGCAACTTTTTACTGAAACATTCAGCAAACTTGTAACTTTTTACTGCAACATTCAGTAAACTTGCAACTTTTTACTGCAACATTCAGTAAACTTGCAATTTTTTACTGCAACATTTAGTAAACTTGCAACTTTTTACTGCAACATTCAGTAAACTTGCAACTTTTTACTGCAACATTCAGTAAACTTGCAATTTTTTACTGCAACATTTATTAAACTTGCAACTTTTTACTGCAACATTCAGTAAACTTGCAACTTTTTACTGCAACATTCAGTAAACTTGCAACTTTTTACTCAAAAATATTTTATCTAGATTTTTTTCTTCAAACATTTTTAACTTTATTAAAATAAATATTTGTATATATATTTGAAGACATGTCTTTTAAAGGGATCCCAAACTCCCAACACATGTTGTGTTCATATTAAAGATAATGTTAAAAAAAAAGGTTTGAACCTAATTTTTTTAATTAAAAATAAATAATGAATGCATACCGTGAAAAACAAATGTCGTTGTTTTTGCCAAAGCTCGTCTTCTCCATTTTTTTCAACCACTCGGAGACTTCAAATTATGCGTCGCAATCTACAGACTTTGGCAATTCCTTTGAAGCGCGTTTAATTCATAAAAGTTTTAGTATTTGACGTCACGGTAGACTTTTAACAAAAGAAACTCTGGAAATATTTTTATTTATTTTTAGTCGAAGTTTTTTTGGTTATTTGTTTAGTTTTTTTTTTCTACTTTAATATTTAAAAAGATATTAAAAACCTTAAATATTTTATGCTGGTTCGTTGCTATAAATTGTTATTGCGCCATATATTTAATGTTTATAAATTATGAATATTTATTATCTCAGATAAAAAAATGTTTTACATTAATTACCCGTATAAAATTATTATCTCAATTATAAGACTCTGATAAATAAATGTTTTACATTAATTACCCGTATAAAATTAGTAACAATATTCTTATTTGGTTAGACGATATTTTGTCTCAATTTGCTTGGGGAAGTCAAACGAAAAAAATTAGTTTGAATAATCACGTCGAAATATATTTAAAACAAATTATTTAAATGACGGGGGTACTAAAGTCTTTCTATAACAAAAGTAGGTAAAAAATAAATAACTAAATAAAAAGTTCAACATTAAACATCTTTTTTTTGTTATATTGCAACTGTAATTATTAAAGTAATAACTTTAACTATATTTACTTATTATTTAGAACGACAAATTAGCAATAAATAAAAAGCCCCTAAAATTATGCGATATTGTGTTAATTTATTCTAAGATCAGAAAAGGTCCTAGGAACGTATTTGTTCCTATAGTATGTAAAATATGTTAGAGTAAAAACAAAATTATGTATGGAGCTGCCGAAATTTCAAAAGTTTCGTTATCAAAAATCAAATGCAAAATGAAATGATTTTTTTTTATCCATATCCAATATAGCAAGTTCAGCAATTTAAATTTAATCAGCGTAATCAAAAAATTTTTATAATAAAAAAATTTAACAGTGCATCATATATCTCTAATTAAATGAAAGCAATTGCTTGTAACTACTTTTTTTCGAAAAACTTCATAGCGTAAAAATGACCAAAGAAGTTAGAAAAAAGTTTTGATTGTTTAATGTAAGATTTAGAATATATATTACTGCGCTCTCTTGCACAAAAACGAGAGACCGTATATATAATGTTCTATATAATGTAAAAAACTCATAAGAAAATCATAAGATCGGTAAGTAAAGCTTTAATATTTGTTTTAATTTAAAAACAAAAGAAATATAAGTAAGATATATATATATATATCGAAAAATTGTTAAGATATCTGTAAAAAACAAGTTGCTCCTATAAAATAAAAATAATTGATCATTTTTTCTTTTCGCAAATTTTTTTTTGCGATGTTTAGAAAAATAATACAAATAAATTTGTTTTGCTGTATGTTAAAAAAAAATACTACAGTAGAAAAACGCAGCTTAGTTTAATTACACTTTTCTTTTGTTAAAAGTCTACCATGACGTCAAATACTAAAACTTTTATGAATTAAACGCGCTTCAAAGGAATTGCCAAAGTCTGTAGATTGCGACGCATAATTTGAAGACTCCGATTGGTTGAAAAAAATGGAGAAGACAAACTTCGGCAAAAACAACAACATTTGTTTTTCTTGCTATGCATTCATTATTTATTTTTAATCAAAAAAATTTGGTTCAATCCTTTTTTTTTTAACATTATCTTTAATATGAATACAACACGTGTTGGGAGTTTGGGATCCCTTTAAATTGGGATCCTGTGCCGAAACCAAGGGTTTGAGGTTGTCTAAAGTATCTAAGGTACCCCCCCCCCTCCCACACACACACACACTTTCTTTTTTTTTCATTTTATTTTTCTTTCAATAAACTTTTTTACTGAAAAAAAAAAAGAATTGGAAGGGTATTTCAAAAGCAAGACCATACTTCAAAGAAAACTATTGGCTAAATAAATACTTAGTGATAATAAAATATTTCATAATAAAACATTTAAAAATAAAACATGGTAGCTTGACAATATAACATTTAGTAATGATAACATAACAGATAATGGCATAACAATATAATATAACAATTATACAGGGCCGGATTTAGCCTTTTGGGGGCCCAGGCCAAAACATTTTTGAGCCTTTTGGGGGCCCTAGGTCAAAACATTTTTAATTTAATTTTTGGAAAAAAAAATTTTGATTTCATGCTTTAAAAGTTTATTTTATAAATTAGAACTCTAATATTTTGGTACTTTTTTTATTAACTCTAATATTTGGTACTTTAAACAACTTTTTCTACTTTGGAAATCTTGTAACAGTTTTTAATTTTATTTCTTTTAATTAATAGACTAATTGCAATTTGCATAACAAGAGGGGAAAAATGCATCTTTAATTTTTTCAATAATTTTGAATTATCCCTAGAGATTTTTATACTGTTTTCAACTTTAATTAACTAAACAAAATAATTAGTTTTATATTATGTTACTCGAAGTATATATTAAAAACAATCAAAGGAACATTATGTCAAATTTTCCAGTAAAGTTGTTTAGAGGTTACTGTATGTTATAAAAATAAGCCAAAAAGTTTGACTTTTTGTCATATTTTTGCCTGTAAATTTGTTCCTCTGAATTTCAGTGCTTAAATGGAAGTTTTTAGATTTTTGAGCGTAATTGACCATGACCACAAAAATTGACCACGAAAATTGTTTTTATTGTAAAATAAAAATCTGAATGTAAATTTCATAAGCTTTTAAAAAAAGGTAAAAAATATCAATTATTATATCAATATTGGTTATTATATCAATGAGGATATTTTGTGATGAATTTGAACAACTTTGTAACATTTTAGATGTAAAGATTCTAAATGCATATAAACAGTTGCATATTTAACATGCATATAATCACAAAGACCAAAATAGGATTGAACATTTTAGGAAGATTAGAAGAATAACAGAAAATGTATCACATGAATAATGGTGCTGATCTGGGTATTTCAAAATTTTTAGAATGCAAAGAAGCAAGACTGAACAAGATTTTAGGAAATTGAAGGTCTTTAACAAATTCTCTTGAAGTATCAGAAAAGCAGCTCTCAAAGTTGACAGCAGCTGTGGCAGACATGTTGTTTATCAATTTGCAAACAACTTCTGTTTTGGTGCGCTATCATTTGCAATACCTTAATGATATGTCAATGTCAGTATCAACTGTACATTATCAAAGATTATCCCACAAAACAAATATATATATATCAATTATTGGCAATATTGCACTATTTAGCCACAGCTCATAATGAAGAACATGTAGCAGTTCTTATAAATGGATCTCATAACGAGTATTATTCATTTTTTATATATACTAAACATATTTATTATTGTTGTTTTTAAAAAAGTTTATTTTTAACTTACAAGCCAAAACTTTTTGGTGTAAAATGTTTTGCTGTATTACAAGGAGATAGCAATAGTCCAGAAGAGCCTCTTTTTAAATGAATTTAAGTGGTTGATTACTCAACTTTTAATACTTTAGTGTAGCCTGCTGACATCAAATCTAAAATATTTAATCAAGAAAATTTAATTCTTGAATAATTTATCAATGCCTCACCAAGGAAACATTTCCACAAGAAGACTACCTTAAGTTAATAGAATTAACTCTTTTTCCTTAGGGAAATACTAACAACAGGCAAAATATTTAAAACTCACAAACCAGGTGTAATGCACAATGCAAGACAAATGCCCCATTCTATATATTTTCTGAAAAGAGAACTCATCTTATAAATTTACTATGTTTGATAATATGCAAATTTTTTATATTCAATGGAATTTCTCTTTATTTAAGTAAAAATTGTCTGACTTTGTTCTACTATTTCTTGTTCTGACTATTGTTCACCAGAACAATAATGGTATAAAAACTTTTTTTAACTCCCCCTCAAAAAAAAAAAAAAATTTAATACAAACTTTAGACAGAAACCAGTTTTTCTAAAAATTTGGTCAAATATTCTTCTTATAATTTTTAATATATACACCATGGAACATAACATGAAATTAATTATTTTTTATTTAAAATTAAAGTTGATTAAAAGTGTAAAAAAAACACCATTTTTTTAACATGGCAAACTATAGATAAAATTTAAAGTTTTTGAAAAAATTACAGAAATTTTTTTTTTACCTGATATTTACCTAGTTATGTGAATAATTTTTTCAAAAAGTTGTTGAAAATGAAACACTCTAATACACAAATAAGTGTGTATACATGTGTATAATATTTGACATTTATAAAATATTTATATAATGTGTGTATTTAAAATTAATTTTAGAAGTTGCAGCTCATGAGTTCAATTGATACACCTCTTAACACTGCTGCCATGTTTAAGGAGAAACAAAAAGCTTCACAGTCACCTTATATTGTTCTCAGTGGTGGAGGCAAAAATCTTTTATCAGGGTACAATTGTTGTTGTATTATTGTAAATATTATTGTTATTATTACTATTATTCTATTATTACAGTTGAGTTACTTTAATTGTAATTACAACCCTCTCTCAACTCTATAACTTCGAAACACAAACCTTGAAGAACTAGGCCGCTGTGCAGAAAAACAAGTTGAGTGTGGTCTTACAGGGGGAGTGGTAGAGATCAAACTTGGATCTTCTGGCTTATGAGGCGAGCATTCTACCACTACACCACTACCGCAATATATATATATATATATATATATATATATATATATATATATATATATATATATATATATATATATATATATATATATATATATATATATATATATATAATTATATATATTATATATATATATATTTTATATATATATATATTATATTATATATATATCAAGTTATGTTTTTTTTTTTTAATTTTTATTTATTTTTTATTTAAGGGGAAGTTTGAAGAAATGAATCCTTTTGTGGTACAGTGGTATATAAATCATAATGGTATCTGATTGTGTTTGCCTAACCGCTAATATAACAGTGGTAGTTTCATATTGCAATTACAAGATGACATCATCATCAGGCTATCAGCAGAATATGACCTGTCAGCAGATTATTGACATTTGAATTGTTGTATAATAATTTATAATAAATTATGTTGAAATCTTAAAAGGAAAAGACAAACATTATAAAATCAATTAAATGCATGTTAATTTTGCTTTCTAAAATCTCCATTTTTTATATTTAATATATATATATATATATATATATATATATATATATATATATATATATATATATATATATATATATATATATATATATATATATATATATATATTTAGATAGATAGATAGATGTAGATAGATATAGATAGATATAGGTATATATTGATAGATAGATATAAGCAAATAGTCATATGCACATATGTATATATATTTATTTAAAATATATGTTTATATATTTGATATATACATATACTATATAAATATATTTTTTTGTTTCTGTAACACTATGAACGCATACAGATGACCAATGAAGATGTCCACCGTTATTGGAGTAAAATAGAATGCAGGCAATGAGATCTGTTGCAAAGACATATCCCTGACAAGTGGCATCAGTGCAGGTCTTGTACTCTTTGAATAAACATATATCTACTACTTGATTCTAATTGGCTCTAACATTTTTATTTCTACCTCCTATGGTTTTGAGCATTTTATTATAATCGTATTTCTTCTTTAAGATATTTTATTTAGTCATATTTACTTTACTAATACACAGGTATTATGTTATATTGTTAATTTCATACTAACTTATTTAGTGTTTATAATATGACCAGTACTATACTATATAATATTAACTTCAAGCAATAAATCATGCTATTCAAGGTTCATATTGTGTTAATGTTTCTCCTGCTTTTTCTGTTGCAATTTTTATTCTTTCATATTTCTTTTAGATTTGTCCATTATCATAGCATACAGATGGAGGTGTGCTTTTATATTTGCTATAGTATAGTCATTTATATATTTATATATTTATATAAACAAAATATATGCCAACAACATTTACCTCTTCCTCTCTTTTTCCCCTCTCTTTCTCTTCTCTCTTATCTCTTATTTATTATTTCCTAACTTAAATTTAGTCTTCCTCTGAATATTGATATTTTTAAATTTTTATTTCATGACTCAATATACAATCTATTCTAAGATTCATCTCTCCCATACTGACCTGACTTTAGATTCATCTCTCCCATACTGACCTGACTTTAGATTCATCTCTCCCATACTGACCTGACTTTAGAGTCATCTCTCCCATACTGACCTGACTTTAGATTCATCTCTCCCATACTGACCTGACTTTAGATTCATCTCTCCCATACTGACCTGACTTTAGATTCATCTCTCCCATACTGACCTGACTTTAGATTCATCTCTCCCATACTGACCTGACTTTAGATTCATCTCTCCCATACTGACCTGACTTTAGATTCATCTCTCCCATACTGACCTGACTTTAGATTCATCTCTCCCATACTGACCTGACTTGGTTGTCTGTATACAATCATAGTGTTGAAGTAGCAAAGATTTATAAATAAAAACTATAAGGTTTGAATATGAAAATGATTGAACTATTTTTTGTTATTTTTTGTTGCATGTTATACATAAGTGTTAAAAAGGTTAGACTTTATTTTTCATTTCATTTGAGATTTTAATAAAGTATCAAATTGATAAGAAAAAAAATTTTAAACAGAATGTTTGCTGTTCCTCATAGGCATGTCATATATACTTACCCAGTTATCTAATCGTTAAAACATTTTATACTTTAGTAGTTTTGTTTAGAAGGAAATAAAACTTTCTGGTTGTCATGGTGTTTTCTTTCTAAACCTTTTTAAATCTGCAATGGCATCCAGGAATATTAGTGGTGTTCTTGTCGGATGGTAATATTTTTTTGTTTTAACTAAAAATATTTATTTTAAAGTTTTTATTTTTTATTGGGTTTATTAATTTTTGTTTAGAAAATTTTAGTTTCAAAATTAAGAATAAATTAAATTTGCTTAAGTATTTAAAAAAATTCTTTTTAAATAATTATTCAAGTAAATATTGTTTTGATGTTTGTTTGTTTTTCTTTTTCTAAACTTTTAACTTAAAAATGAATATTGTTTTGATGTTTTTTTTTTTGTTTTTTTTGTTTTCAACTTTTCACTTTAATATTAAAGTATTTAAGCCATTTAAAACAATTTTTTTTATCTAACAATCAAAATAGTTGTTTATTATTTTATGTTAAAATGTTTTAACATTTAAACTGAATTTCAAACATTTAGGACTTCAAATGTTTTAATATTTATAATATTTTAATATTTATAATATCAGTTTTAAATACTTCTAATGTTAAGGTTTATTAATTATACTCTTAAAAATCTGTTAATAGATAATTAATGCTAACTGGAGCTGTCATAAAGTTTTTCTTTATGATTTTGCTTATATATACATGTACATATATAACATCCTTGTTTTATAAGTATTTATATAACACCTACATATCCAAACAATTTTCTTTACAAAAGTTGTTGTATTAAATTCACAAAATGTACATAACATAAAGTCACTACCTTTGCAGCAATCTAATTTTATTACTCCAAAGTTAAGATGAGGATTAAATTATAAGTTTCACATACATGTGCGCGCGCGCGCACACACACACAAACACATTGTTATTAAAAACCCATGTTCAATACTATAGCTCCCAAACCCTGACAAACAAAGCCTTCTTCTAGCAAGCAAACTGATATTTTAAATGCCAACAGATTATTATGTATTCTTTAAAGACACATTCTCAGAGCTGTGTCAGGTAAAAGTAAAAAGTAAAATAATGATATTCTGTTATTACTTAAAATATCTTAAAAACAAACGATGGATCTTCGCTATTGTTAGAATTTTCTATTGTTAGAATTCTCTATTGTTTAGAGATATTTATAGTATTAAGCTTTTCTTTCAAGTAATGACCAAAGAGATCCTGAAATTGTCAGCATGATATATTTTTAATATGTTGTAAAACAACTCTGTAACTGCATATTTACATTGCAGAGAATTTTTTTATATGGAATTTAATTATTACTACTTGTAAACTTGTGAACTTTCTTGTAAAAAATAAAACTTCTAAGTTTATTTTAGTTTTTTAGTTTTTATTTAAATCTTAAGGAAAATTTTTTAGCATGATTGTTATGTAGAGCTGTAAAATACAAGGTTTGGAAAAACAAATAATTTTACTAAATTACTAGTCACACTGTAAAATGATTCATAAATTGAAAAATAAATAAAATTAATTCGTCCATGGATGGACTACATGTGCATCCATCTTTTCTAAAATCATATGGGAAAATTTTATGGTCATAATATTTGAACATAAAGTAATTTTTTTTTACATTGTTGAAATATTTTTGTCTATTTACATTTTTTCCATAACCATTTATATAGTTATAAATTTTATATATTACTGGCGTCAGCAGTTCAGTATCTAAATTAGTTCTGCTATTTAAAGGTGAACATCGGTACCTCTGTATTTCAAGAGCTTAACGCACTTTTTCGATCAAATTTTTTTGTTTTCACATATTATTTTAACATTTTCCCACTCAATAGTCAACTACTTGATAGTCAAACTACCCTCCATTACATGATGCTAGTTAAAGAGAAGTTGTAAAAGATAATTTGGTAAAAGATAACAATATTTAGGACTTGCTCAACGCTTATAAAGTTTTTAATATTTGTGTTGAAACCTATGATCAAGAGTAAAATAAACTGCAGAACACACCTATGGCAGTTGTAGATAAATTATTATCTGAAACTTTGTTCATAGTCAAAATCTAAATGATTAAAATTAATATTCAATTGTCATCTGAGTCCTATTGTTTACGAAACATCAACTGTAACTTGGCATCAACTATTGAGGACTTAGTTTTTGCTAAAAAAATTTTTTTCTATGGTCCTTGAACTAGTTATTGACATTTTTTCTATGGCAACTTGAATTATATATTTTCTATTTGAATTAGGTATTGCTTCTGTTCTTCATTGCATGTCAAACTCAAGTCGAACTCTTGAATCAATGCAACCCTATGTTCAGCCAAGTTATTGACGACTTTGAGAGATTGTACAAGACATTTGCTTTCTTGATATTCTGGTTGAGATTCCAATTCACTGGGATCGACTTGCAAGAACTCCTGGGGTATGCCAAGAATCGATATTCAGATTAAGCACTCAGCAGTGCAAAGGTCTTGTCTTGGAGCACAGTTTGTAGCTGGACTTTCAAACCAGTATTTTATATATACTTTAGTGATGAACAGACTTACATCTTGCATGTGATGCCATATTTTCTGACAATAGGAAAGATCTTGAGACTTTTGACAGCTGGCGCCAGTTTGTAGTGGCTCGTATTGCTTGCGAAATTGCCACATCTTTATACAATAAATGCTTCTCGTCATCCATCGTAAGATAATGGATGATTTACTGGTTCAGAACTCGTTCTGAACCAGTAAGGTCATCCATTATCTTACCGTTGCAACGCAAAATTAGTGGAACTGGCGGATCAAATTTTTCCTTGACTTCCAAGCTGAAAAGCTTGCGATGCCTCATGTGGGCTTGTCTTATAGCGCTGGCACTAATAATGACTTCTTCCGCATCTTGCTTTAGCAGTCCTGATGCCATTGCAGAAAATATATAGGCCTTTCTGTAAGAAATGTTTATTCTATCAAGAGCAGCAGCAACTTGAGGAGTCACAATATCCAAAGTACCTCTCGCTGACTGTGTCTTTATAGCTTTCGGAATGGATGGACCAGCTTCAAGTTCAGCATCTAAAGGCTGTGATGAATTCTCGTCCCTAGAAGTAGCAGTTACAAGTGATATCAGTAATGATATTGTCGCTCCTGTTGAATTTACTTTCAATTAATACTTTTCAGCTGCTATTTTCTGTTTGTTCTTCCTTCAGTGCAAGTGCTTTGTCTACACCACCCATTCTACCTCTGCAATCTTTCTCACGCTGAGCAGGTAGAAACAATCGGTCCTCTTCAATCTTTATGGTTGACATAGCATCCTGATAGGCAATATCAAAAAGATCATTTAGTCTTTTGCAAATTTCTCCTGGTTAGACAGATTTGTTGCCGATCTCTGATTAATATTCTTCTTGAGACACTGCAGAGTGCAGTTTGTAGAGGTGTTCAACCACATGATTTAACACAACAAACAGTATTATGCACAAGTATTATCAGACAATTTGCCAATATAAATGCAGTTGATAAATGCATTGTATCATAAATTAATTTTTTTCAAAAGAAAACTTACCTAACTTTAGTATTCTTGTAATGTATTCACCAAGTTCAAAGTATGATGAAAAAGAAAAAAAATTGACTAATATCACAAATTTTAGCAATGTTAACAACCAAGATGTCTGCTTGTGTAGGTCACATGACACAACTAAAAACATTCATATAATTAAGTAAGTTATAAAATACGTATTTGGTCAGGCAATTAATAAAAAAATGATAAAACCATGTATTTAGAACTCTAAAAAATGTTGAGCAAGTTCTAAATATTAATTTAATTAGATATATTTTGGCTACTGAAACTTTATATGTCACATCATCAAATGATGGGTTGGTGGAAAATTATTACCTTGTGAAAAAAATTTTGGAAACACCCCAATATGTATATATATATATATATATATATATATATATATATATATATATATATATATAATATATATATATATATATATATATAGTGTGCAGTTGGTATTTGGGAATGCATCACATATGATGGCCAGGTCTACACATTTTATACAACAGTCCAATAAACACACATAGATACAATGACACCCTTAAAAATTATTTAGTACCTACCAAGGACATTTTTTTGGTAACAAGGCAGAGTGGATGTTCTAACAATGCTCCATGCCATAAAGCAAAATCTGTAACAGAATAGTTTGAGCAAAACAGTATCAAGGTATTTCACTGGCCAGCAGATCACCATATCTGATTTCAATTGAAAATGCTTAGACTGTGTTGGACCTAAAAAAAGAACCAGTAACTTCAGCTGAAAATCTATAAGAAAATTTAAAAGAGTTGTCTAACGGTTTGACAGTTGAATATTGTCAAAAACCTTTTGCTTCTATAAGAAGAAGGTGTACATTATGCATAAAAATAGAGGTAGTAACATCCCATATTAAGGTTCAGGCTCAAAACAACTTCAACTGCTTGACAATACTTATCTTTGTGAGCAACTTTTTTCACACATGAAACGAAATAAAACCCCTCAGAGGCCCAGGCTTACTGATGAACATAATGAAAGTGTTAGCTAGCCGAGACAT